ACGTAAATCTAATTGTACTGCCTGGCTTGCGGGGATAAATATTTTATCCCAAATTGAAACTTAACCTCAAAGTTTAAAAAATGTGCACTGCATTTCAACTATCCATATTTGTATAAGTTCCTATATCGTTCATTTTGAAATATCAGTTGGCGTGTGCAAAATCTATATTTTTTGTGCTATAAAGACATTAAAATACTTGACACATTTAAGAAGAAATTGTTCATACTGTATGCAGATGTCTTTGAAATTGACATTTGTTTGGTGAACAACTATAACTCTAACCCCGCTGAATGCAACAGAATGCAACATTATGCAACAGTGGTAAAAAGTTGTTGCAAGTTGTTGCATTTAGCAGCCAACTCAAGTCCCCATGCTTTGTTGCATCTTGTTGCATTTAGCAGGGCAACTGCTCACAAGGCGATACATATCCACTGTTGCAGTTTGTTGCATTTAGCAGGGTAACTGCTTGGTACCATGGCTGGTATGCAATGGGTTCACTGCACAATGCTACAGAATCCACTGTTGCAATTTGTTGCATTTAGCAGGGTAACTGCTTGGTGCCAGGGCTGGTATGCATTGGGTTCACTGCACAATGCTACAGGATCCACTGTTGCAATTTGTTGCGTTTAGCAGGGTTACTGCTTGGTACCATGGCTGGTATGCAATGGGTTCACTGCACAATGCTACATAATCCACTGTTGCAATTTGTTGCATTGAGCAGGGTAACTGCTTGGTGCCAGGGCTGGTATGCACTGGGTTCACTGCACAATGCTACGGAATCCACTGTTGCAATTTGTTGCGTTTAGCAGGGTAACTGCTTGGTGCCAGGGCTGGTATGAACTGGGTTCACTGCACAGTGCTACAGAATCCACTGTTGCAATTTGTTGCATTATTAGCATGGTTCTCATTTGAGTCGAGTTGAGTGGATATTGTTGCATTTAGCAGGGTACCTGAAGAACACCCGATGGGGGGTCAGGATTAAGTGTTTCCATACAAGATAAGACGTAGATTGCAGATATAACACACTATGCCTCATAATCATTTGATTGTCAAACCAAGTGTCTGTTTCAAGTTTTGAAGTTTGATTTGGTTAATTCTTCAGAGATTACCTTTTTTTTTTTTTTTACTTTTGACTTAGTATTTTGAATGTGAGTTCAAAGGTTATGGTGTTGGCAGGTTTCATTGAGTGTTAAATATGCAACTTCATGTATAATAATGCACAATTTTTAAATCATAATGGTTTATAAAAACTAAATGAAAAATACTTCATGTGTAAAGTTATTAAATGTATATTATGTATCTTAAAAATTATATGATACTGCAAATTTTAGCTCAGTGCAGCTTTAAGTTTACATTGATGCATCATGATTCTTTGTACATTTCCAGGATAACTGAAATTGAGAAATGTTTTAAAACTTCAATATCTAATAAAAAAGTGATTAAAAGAAACAAATGCGTATGTTTTGAGGCTGATTATAGACAGAAAAGGGCTGCGAAAAATTAGGTCACTTCTAAAAAAAGTTTTAACCAGACTGGCAGTTTGACCCCCAACCCAAAACCTTTGTGTTTATGCTAAAAGTACTGGTTTTGACTGGGTTGCATACAAGGGATGGATCGGGGAGGATAGGATAGATGATTGGAAAAGTCAATATCGGCAGTTCGTTCTGTACTTAAGTGGGAATCCTTAAAAACCGGCAGGCTAAGTACATGAATTTTTTTTTTAAAGAATTGGGCTAATAGGGGCAATATTTTACTCTTGTTGCTCTGGATCCCCCGTCTTCCACATGCACTTGCCTGAACGCTACTGTATCTCTGGGACCCGACTCATACATGAGACAGCCACATAAAAGTACCGAAACCAAACTAGCCATTAATTATGAAAGGCGCCCTCTGCATGTAAATGTGTTCTGTATAATAAACGTGATGATTGATGATCACGTGCACGGGTGACAAGGGGCGGGCGGCGTATATAGTGCGGGAGTCGGAAGTCAGTCGCACAGCTGTTAGTGTTACTGAGCCATGGTGTAGTATGTAGTCAACTCGTAAGCGAGGTAGGTATGCCCCAAAGAAAGATCATTCATTTTTACTGCCACAACGGTCGTTAGAAATTCAACAAAGATTTCTTCGAAAGAATGTATGAAGAGAATAGTGTATGACGTATGGCCACTTCATCTCAATGAAGGTCTGTCATGTAAAAAATGTTGCAACCCAACCTGACGCCACTTCCGCGATTGTGTTCAAAGTCTATGGAGAGTCGAGACAATTTTCTAAGTATTTCCCAACAAAATTGGAAATGTTTCTCAGTCCCAGATTCATGTCTTAATATGTCTTATCATCATTTTTGCAATGACTGAAAAAGTGGCGTCTAGGTTGCAACATTTTTTCCGGAAAGACTTTGAAAATGTTCTTGAGAGTTTGAATGCAACATTGGTGTTTTTGCAATGCCGGAACGATGAAAGCTGCAGTTGAATATTGCGTTACGGCTGCCATAACATATAGCCACTGCCTATATATTATTTGACATCCTAGGCGCCATTCCATATCATGCACGCTCAAAACTAACCCAACAAGTTGGAGTGATGATTCTTAATGCCTTGCCAACTGTAGTGGTATCCAGATTCGGATTCAGATTTTTTTTTTAAATAGCTGGAATTTGCATCGGGGAGTTGTCAATTCAGAGTTTGGTTGATCATCATTACTGACAATTTGTGACATATTTTATAACTCCTTGTACATTGTATAAACTGCATATGATGTAAATATTCCTACTTTAATATATAACCTGATTAACCTGAAGAGCGAAGAATGTTATTGAAGTTATATGAATCTCATTTTTTTCTTTCTAATGATTATGTTTTTGTTTAGGACATTGTGACAATTTAAGATCAGTGGCTGCAAGTTGAATCAGGATACTGCATATACTGACATAGGCCCTACATGTACTTCCTATATGTTCAATGTTTTGGAATATCTATAAGTTCAAGAGTTACAAGTTGGGTTTGACTGGTTGATTGACAATCCCAAATTAATCCCATGTCCATGTGTTTTACAATAGTATATTCTTTTTGTTAACTCAGTGACAAAGATCTAAAACCAGTGTTGGAGCAAAGGCTTTGAACCTCAAGGCCAAGGCCAAGGCCAAGGCTTTGACCCTCAAGGCCAAGGCTTTGACCCTCAAGCCTTAAGGCTAAGGCCAAGGCTTAACCCTCAAGGCCAAGGCCAAGGCCCTGTTTTATGAAATGATCACTAATTAAGAACTAATTATAGTCACATAACACATCATCACGAATTGCTCATTAGGCCAAACAAAATAAATCTCCGGTTTCTGGTATGGAGCTTGTCCAAAAAGTGGTGCGGCGACGCGGCTTTTTTTTTTTTTTTTACCTGACTTTTTTTGCTTCAAATGTCGGCTGATGACTGCAAATGGTGCCCGACTAAACTTAGTGCAAATATATAAGAGTCCAGAGAGGCCACATAAAGCTTATTCTCGATCATAACCCCATCTAAAAACACGTTAAAATTGTGCAGTAGCAGGATTCCAGTCAAACCAGTGAGTTTGGCGGTTTTGAGACATCATCTTTAATTGAAAAAAAAAAACTTTTTCATTTTGCCGACGCGCATGGCTACGGCGACGCGCGCGCATACCAGAAACCGGAGACTTTTTTTTTGGCCTTAAGAAGAACAACTTTAAAATGCTCACATACAATGTTTTATGACTGCATTGTATCTATTAAAGTATAAGTTCAGGTCTTCATGAATATGGTTTAACTAAAACAAAATAATGATTTAATTCTATATTGACGCACAATTCTCCCGAGTATAACAAAAGGGGATCCAAGAAACTAATTTGGGGAATTTTAATTGCTGGGCCAACATGGTCAGAAGTATTAGCATTACCTAAAACATACATGGAAAGTGACCCAAAATCTGACCTCAATTAGCATAGTATCAGTTATTGAGGGCAGTATACTCCGAGCATGATCAGCAGTCATTCACTCGTACCCCCTGCCCTGCAAACAGGACGCTGGGAAGGGCAGACGAATTAACGCTCTGATTGGCTAGATTTTGCGTGACCTGTGACCTACACGTCATCACGACCAGTCGTGACGACCAGGACCCTGCAAGGTTTGAAATGGCTGTTAAGACTGCCCATCGCTCTTTTATTCCCATTTATAAATGCGACGCCCTTTTTTTGGTTGAAAAGCTTAATTAGGAAAATCTGTAAAACTTATCTGACTTGTAAATTTTCACTCCTGTCAGTTGCTCAGGCTCCGTTTCGAATTCACGAAGGGTCGAAATGCATATCATTCGACGCTCAAAATGTGTCCAAATGGTCCGCAATGAAAAAGAAATCACATCCGGTGTGGTGTGTATGTATTTCGATGGCAAACTTTTCGGATAGTATTTGCGCGCATTGGCTAACCGCGGTCTACATTGATCTCCATTAGTAAGATGGCGCTGCAGCCAGATGCTTTTTACATAGGTCACGATAAATTACCCAGAATGCCTTCCCAACTTCCTTCACAAGATTCTGTGATGCTCAGCTGCCCTTCCCAGCGCCCTGTTTGCAGGGCGGGGGTACGAGCGAACAGCAGTCACAGATCTATTCCATAATTGTATGCAATTTAAGTGATTATCTCCTTAGCCCCAAAAGTGTACAGAAAGTTATTGCAGCAAATGTACTATAATGGTAACAAAATGTGATGCTATAAACGTGAAAGTGTGCCCAGCACACAAATCTATAGGGTGTTTCCCTCCGCCATGGTAACACGAATAAAATGGTAACAGCAAAATTTCCAACAGATTTATCTGGAAAATGCAAAAATCTATGGGCCTTGAAGAGCCTTGACTCAAAATTGCAAGGCACTGATCCCTCAAGGCCAAGGCCAAAGCCAAGGCATTTGACCTCAAGCCTCAAGGCCAAGGCCCTAAAGTCCAGCCTTAAGGAAGCCTTAAGGCCAAGGCCCAGCATCAAGGCACTACATCACTGTCAAAAACTGCCAATTTTGCTGAACTTCAGAGGTTGTAATTCACTTGCATCTCATTTGTGCACAAAACTTCACTTGATCCAGTAAAATTAATTATTTAGGCCCTACTGTATAATGTTAAAGGTTAGACTGCAATGCTATATGAGTACTGAATGTTTCGATATTGTCACCAGATAACAAATTTACACTCTTCCGGATCTATGGATGAGGAACATGGTGTTCAGCAAGAGACCTTGGTAATTTACATCTCAATTTATTCATGTACACATTTTATCCTCTTACAGGTGAATGTATAACTGCAACTTGTTTCTCAGGGAGAAGATTGAACACACCTTTTCCATCTATCTTGACTATTCAAGTGACTTCAATACAAGCTGCACTGCATGTTGACATTGTTAATCTTGCTGGTGCATCATGAGAGTCAGGGGACTTACTTCTATGATTGAGCAGCATCCGTCATTGTTGACAAGGCATTGTCTACATGATGCACGTCTTGTCCTTGATGGCAATGCACTCAGGTACTTCTTGTACCAAGATCGCCCTCCCTGTGATAATGGACATCATGGTGGCCGTTACCAGATCTTTTCAGACAAGTGTCAGCTTTTCTTTCTCAATCTTGCCGAGTGCAATATTTCTCCTTACCTTGTGTTTGACGGAGCCTTAGAGATGGATGACAAGAAGCTTGCAGAAACCAAGTCTAGGAGCCAGGAACGTATCCAAACGGCTGTTGCTATTCCTAGTGGTAGTGGTGGGATAGCCGTTTCTCCTTGCAGTACATTGGTGTTCATGAAGGTGCTGGATGATCTTGGCATTCCGTATGTATTTTGTGACTTTGAGGCAGATGCTGAAACTGCAGCTCTGGCTAATGCTTTGGACTGTGCAGCAGCTTCCGGTGACAGTGACTTCTACATCATGGACCTGAAAGATGGATACTTGCCACTGAACCACTTTGACTGGAAGAATCCTAAAATGATTAAGGTGTCAGAAGCAGCAGCACCATCGGGTCAGCTGTACATTGAGTGTAAGAAGTACAAGAGTAGTGCCTTCTGCAAGATGTTCCATGTCAAGCAGGCATTACTGCCCATACTTGCAACTGCTGTTGGAAATGATTACAAAGACACCTTTGGAGCCTCTCTTGACCCATTCCAAAGCTTTGTTCATTCCAAGTTTTTTGTAAGGGTCTTCCTTACAATTCAGGTGGAAGACTCTCGCCAGCCCAGCGCTGGGGGAGCATCACTCAACATCAGAGCCATCTTGTACGGCATCCTGCTACAGGAGCAAAAGTCAGCCTCTAGAAGGCCACCAGTTGTTGAGGAGTATGCACAGTCATCTGGGAGTCTGAAGCACAGTATTGTCGAGCCATCCTATGACATCGCTGGAGGTGATGGGTGGAAGCTAGCTTTGCCCAGTCTACAGGATATCCCAGCTATGTGTGAAACTGATCGCAGAGCAATTATCCTTGCTGCAGCAGGGATTGATGGCTCAGTCATTCGCAGCATTCCAGCGTTGTTCCAACTTGCTACTTGTGTGACTTTAAACTTGCTCAGTCATGCAGACCCAACTGTCTACTCTTACCAGATAGTATCCCTTCTTGTCAGCTGGTTACATGGAGTTGCGGCAAGCAGGCAGAGATACATCAGCAAAGGCCAAGGCACTCCAGAGCTCCTTCAAGTGGGCCTGGAAAACTCAGATGTGCATGCCATCCTCGCAAACTGTAAGCCACATGAGAACATATACAAGGAGTCCCGACAGTTAGATGTAGAGGTCATCCAGGCGATGGCACAGTGGCAAGATGGCGTGCTTGGCTTAGTCAATCTGAATAAAGTTCTGCTCAGTCCATTTGTGTATCCTGATATGGCAGTCCTGTACAATGGTCCTCTGATACACAGTCTCTGCATCAATCTGAAGCCAATGTCTTCAACAGTGCAACGACAGTGGGTGGTGAAAGAACTCTTGCGTGGCACCAAGCCAAGAATTCGGGCATTGCTTGATCAGCTCCTTGAGCCCTCCTGGCCCTTTCTCATGCCAAGGAAGAGGACCAAAAAGAGCAAGAAGTGTAAGAAGGCACCATCCAGGCCAGGAACCTCAAGGCCATCCATGGACACCCCTACTGCGAGAGGTGCTGAAGGTGGTGCAGAGAGAGACACTGAGGAAGTAACTTATGGTGTCCAGGTTTCCAGCAGGTTTGCTGCACTGGGACAGTATTAGTGAGATCCACTAGTTTGATTACTTTGACCTGTATGTCTTTGATACTGTGCATTCAGCTTATATACTTCAGTACACTACGGTGCACATCCTTTTTTGTTCTAATAGTGTTCAATTATTTTGATCAATAGAAGCACAATGACATACATTTGTACAATGTGACTGATATATCCCATCTTAATGAAGAAATCTGTTTTGTTTATTTTATAATATTTTATAGTAGTTTCTTGATGTTCATAAGAAATTGGTGTATCTTTTGTGTCAAAATAATATTTTTAATTTGGATATATGATTGTTAAAGTATTTTACACTTCCTTCAAAAAGGTATTTGCCCTTCTGTATTTACCCCTTTATCAATTTAATTGCGAGTTTCTGTTAAGCTTTTGATTGTTTGTTTTTCCCAGTACCATTTTACTGGTTGTTTTTCATAGATACTGTTAAAGGGCATCCAATCTCAATTGAGAATCAAATTATATAAAATAGCTTCTTTCACCTCATTTTGGAAAACAAATGCATGTTAACAGTTCAAAACCACACGTAAATCTAATTGCACTGCCTGGCTTGTGGGGATAAATATTTTATCCAAAATTGAAACTTAACTTTAAACTTCACCTTAAACTTATAAAATGTGCACTGCATGTCTTTGTAAAAGTTCCTATATTGTTCATTTGAAATATCAGTTGGTGCAAAATCTATATTTTTGGTGCTATAGAGACATTAAAATACTTGACTCGTTAGATTCTAGTACAGATTTAAGAAAAAATTGTTCATGCTGTATGCAGATGTCTTTGAAATTGACATTTGTTTGGTGAACAACTTAACCCTAACCCCGCTAAATCCAACAGAATGCAACATATTGCAACAGTGGTAAAAAGTTGTTGCAAGTTGTTGCATTTAGCAGCCAACTCAAGTCCCCATGCTTTGTTGCATCTTGTTGCATTTAGCAGGGCAACTGCTCACAAGGCGATACAAGAGTATCCACTGTTGCAGTTTGTTGCATTTAGCATGGTTCTCATTTGAGTTGAGTTGAGTGGATATTGTTGCATTTAGCAGGGTACCTGAAGAATACCCAATGGGGGAGGGGGGTGTCAGAGTTAGGTGTTTCCATACAAGATAAGAGGTAGATGGCAAATATAACACACTATGTTTCATAATCATTTGATTATCAAACCAAGTGTCTGTTTCAAGTTTTGAAGTTTGATTTGGTTAATTCTTCAGACATTACTTCTTTTTTTTTCATACTTTTGACTTAGTATTTTGAATGTGAGTTCAAAGGTTATGGCGTTGGCAGGTTTAATTGAGTGTTAAATATGCAACTTCATATATAATTATGCACAATTTTTAAATCAACATGGTTTATTAAACTAAATGAAAATTACTTCATGTGTAAAGTTATTAAATGTATATTATATATCTTAAAAACTATATGATACTGCACATTTTAGCTCAGTGCAGCTTTAAAGTTTACATTTATGCATCATGATTCTTTGTACATTTCCAGGATAACTGAAATTGAGAAATGTTTTAAAACTTCAATATCTAATAAAAAAAAGTGATTAAAAGAAACAAATGCGTATGTTTTGAGGCTGATTATAGACAGAAAAGGGCTGCGAATAATAAATTAGGTCACTTTTAAAAAAAGTTTTACCCAGACTGGCAGTTTGACCCCCAACCCAACCCTTGGTGTTTATGCTAAAAGTACTGGTTTTGACTGGGTAAAAAGTGGGTTGCATACAAGGGATGGATCGGGGAGGATAGGATAGATGATTGGAAAAGTCAATATCGGCAGTTCGTTCTGTACTTACGTGGGAATCCTTAAAAACCGGCAGGCTGAGTACATGAAAAAATATTTAAAGAATTGGGCTAATAGGGGCAATATTTTACTCTTGTTGCTCTGGATTCCCCGTCTTCCACTTGCACTTGCCTGAACGCTACTGTATCTCTGGGACCCGACTCATACATGAGACAGCCACATAAAAGTACCGAAATCAACTAGCCATTAATTGTGAAAGGCGCCCTCTGCATGTAAATGTGTTCTGTATAATAAACGTGATTAATTGATGATCACGTGCACGCGTGACACAAGGGGCGCGGCGCGATTGAAGTGCGAAGGTCAGTCACACAGCTGTTATTGGTAGTCAACTCGTAAGCGAGGTAGGTATGCCCACAAAGAAAGAACATTCATTTTGACTGCCATAACGGTGTTAGAAATTCAACAAAGATTTCTTCGAAAGAATGTATGAAGAGAATATTGTATGACGTGCCGGTATGGCCACTTCATCTCAATGAAGGTTTGTCATGGAAAAATGTTGCAACCTGACGCCACTTCCGCGATTGTGTTCAAAATCAAAGTCTATGGAGAGTCTATGGAGAGTCGAGACAAGTACTTCCCAACAAAATTGGACATGTTTCTCAGTCCCAGATCATGTCTTAATATGTTATCATCATTTTTGCAATGACTGAAAAAGTGGCGTCAGGTTGCACCCTTTTTTTCCGGAAACACATTGAAAATGTTCTTGAGAGTTTGAATGCAACATTGGTGTTTTTGCAATGCCGGAATGATGACAGCTGCAGTTGAATACTGCGTTACGGCTGCCATAACATAGCCACTGCCTATATATAATTTGACATCCTACGCGCCATTCCATATCATGCACGCTCAAAACTAACCCAACAAGTTGGAGTGATGATTCTTAATGCCTTGCCAACTGTAGTATCCAGATTCGGATTCAGATTTTTTTTTTTTAAATAGCTGGAATTTGCATCGGGGAGTTGTCAATTCAGAGTTTGGTTGCATGATCATCATTACTGACAATTTGTGACATATTTTATAACTCCTTGTACATTGTATAAATTGCATATGATGTAAATATTCCTACTTTAATAAAACCTAATTAACCTGAAGAGCCAAACATTTTAGTACAGTTATTTGAATCTTTTTTTTTTTTTGTTTCTAAATGTTTATGTTTTTGTTTCGGACATTGTGACAATTTAAGATCAGTGGCTGCAAGTTGAATCAGGATACTGCATATACTGACATAGGCGCTACATGTACTTCCTATATGTTCAATGTTTTGGAATATCTATAAGTTCAAGAGTTACAAATTGGGTTTGACTGGTTGATTGACAATCCCAAATTAATCCCATGTCCATGTGTTTTACAATATTATATTCTTTTTGTTAACTCAGTGACAACGATCTAAAACCAGTGTTGGAGCAAAGGCTTTGAACCTCAAGGCCAAGGCCAAGGCTTTGACCCTTAAGGCCAAGGCTTTGACCCTCAAGCCTTAAGGCTAAGGCCAAGGCTTAACCCTCAAGGCCAAGGCCAAGGCCCTGTTTTATTAAATGATCACTAATTAAGAACTAATTATAGTCACATAACACATCATCACGAAGTGCTCAAAACTTGAATTCTCAAACTACGAAACGCATCGGGGTACGCCTGGCTAGCCGACGGACAGCATGGTTCTCCCCACGTACAAACGTGCGTACTGCGTATCGGCCCCATACGCTGGAATTGCGGCCCCGGCCCGATGCGCCGACAAAAAATGGCGATCACATTTTTTAGCCCCTGATACGCACAATTTAATTATCATACACGCCATTAAAATGCACAATTTGATCGTTACATACGCCATTATTTCATCTTGACATGCAAAATCTTGACCAAAATCCTGTTTTTCCGATGCATGTGTGATCAAAATGCACACGATGACGTGTTCTGTCGACCACCAGCAGCACCCAGCTAACACACAGCATGGTACACTGGTTCCCTTCGCCAGCTAACGGAATCAATGCTGTGATGAAGGACCGGAACCAGTGACTACTGCCTCTCTCCGGTCCATACTTCGTATCATACCGCATGATGATGTAGTGGGCCGAAGTTGGATCGTAAAAATATTACCAAACAAACATCGCTGGAGAAAGAGAATTTCTGCGAATTAATTCACAGAACGTGATCTTTACTTTCTGTGAATGTGTTTTCCATTAAAATGACGAGATTGCAAAGCTCGAACTTGTGGCGAAACATCGTAGCGTGTTTCTGCAGTAGCGCAAGATTTTCGGCCACGTGGGCCGTGAGTTCGGCGCGATGTTCGGCTAGCCAGGCGGAATGTTGGCGGTGCCAGCGGCCGTGATGTATGTTAAGCATGAAGTGGAATCACCGACCTTAGGTGAGGCAAGTTTTAATCACTTTTGATAGCCACTCTTGATAACTTTCGTCGCGCAAATTAAAATAATCCAGGCACAAAATAAACATGATTCCTTGCTCTTCAGTACGAATGATGCTCCATTAATCAGCACCCCAAGAAAATTGGCGAAATAATTTTCCGACCTACTGACGCTATTTTGAAAGGCATGTAATCGGAAGAAAAGTGTTTTTTTTTCTCCACCTTTTTTCTTAATTTGAAACTTACATGTAAAATAATGTAATTCATACTTTTCTAGTTAGGAAGCAATGAAACACAGGTTGTGAAATGTTAATTCTTTTTAAGTTAACAATTTTGATTTTTTTTCTTAAATTACAAAAATATTAGTGACCTACAAGATCTCCTCTGAATTTCAAGGACAAATCTTAAGATAAAGACCCCCAGATTTGCTCTAAAATGCACCAGAGCGCTTCTAAAGTTCAAACATTTTCGGGTTGTTGAATCACAGCAAATCTTCCCAACATGTTTGAAAAAATCCTGGGGAGAACCCTGGCCGACGATACAAATTAATTTGGATTGAAATGTATCGATTGAATATCTTCAATGCTTGAATAGTGGTTTTATACAATTTTTTTTGCAAAAGAACACGCATGGGCTTGCAGAACTGAAATGAAAAAAAAAAAAATTACACAATAAAATTATTTCCCTACCTACCTACCTGGATTTTTTTCAGGCCGTTACCGTAAACACACCATTTTTTTTGTTTGGCCTTACCTAAAACATACATGGAAAGTGACCCAAAATCTGACCTCAATTAGCATAGTATCAGTTATTGAGGGCAGTATACTCAGAGCATGATCAGCAGTCATTCACTCGTACCCCCTGCCCTGCAAACAGGACGCTGGGAAGGGCAGACGAATTAACGCTCTGATTGGCTAGATTTTGCGTGACCTGTGACCTACACGTCATCACGTCCAGTCGTGACGACCAGGACCCTGCAAGGTTTGAAATGGCCGCTAAGACTGCCCATCGCTCTTTTATTCCCATTCATAAATGCGACGCCCTTTGTTTGGTTGAAAAGCTTAATTAGGAAAATCTGTAAAACTTATCTGACTTGTAAATTTTCACTCCTGTCAGTTGCTCAGGCTCCGTTTCGAATTCACGAAGGGTCGAAATGCATATCATTCGACGCTCAAAATGTGTCCATATGGTCCGCAATAAAAAAGAAATCACATCCGGTGTGGTGTGTATGTATTTCGATGGCAAACTTTTCGGATAGTATTTGCGCGCATTGGCTAACCGAGGTCTACATTGATCTCCATTAGTAAGATGGCGGTCTACCGCTGCAGCCAGATGCTTTTTACATATGTCACGATAAATTACCTAGAATGCCTTCCCAACTTCCTTCACAAGATTTTGTGAAGCTCATCTGCCCTTCCCAGCGCCCTGTTTGCAGGGCGGGGGTACGAGCGAACAGCAGTCACAGATCTATTCCATAATTGTATGCAATTTAAGTGATTATCTCCTTAGCCCCCAAAGTGTACAGAAAGTTATTGCAGCAAATGTACTATAATGGTAACAAAATGTGATGCTATTAAAGTGAAAATGTGCCCAGCACACAAATCTATAGGGTGTTTCCCTCTGCCATGGTAACACAAATAAAATGGTAACAGCAAAATTTCAAACAGATTTATCTGGAAAATGCAAAAATCTATGGGCCTTGAAGAGCCTTGACTCAAAATTGCAAGGCACTGATCCCTCAAGGCCAAGGCTTTTGCCCTCAAGCCTCAAGGCCAAGGCCCTAAAGTCCAGCCTTAAGGCAGCCTTAACGCCAAGGCCCAGCATCAAGGCACTACATCACTGTCAAAAACTGTCAATTTTGCTGATCTTCAGAGGTTGTAATTCACTTGCATCTCATTTGTGCACAAAACTTCACTTGATCCAGTAAAATTAATTGTTTAGGCCCTACTGTATAATGTTAAAGGTTAGACTGCAATGCTATATGAGTACTGAATGTTTCGATATTGTCACCAGATAACAAATTTACACTATTCCGGATCTATGGATGAGGAACATGGTGTTCAGCAAGAGACCTTGGTAATTTACATCTCAATTTATTCCTGTACACATTTTATCCTCTTACAGGTGAATGTATAGCTGCAACTTGTTTCTCAGGGAGAAGATTGAACACACCTTTTCCATCTGTCTTGACTATTCAAGTGACTTCAATACAAGCTGCACTGCATGTTGACATTGTTAATCTTGCTGTTGCATCATGGGAGTCAAGGGACTTACTTCTATGATTGAGCAGCATCCGTCATTGTTCACAAGGCATTGCCTACATGATGCACGTCTTGTCATTGATGGCAATGCACTCAAGTACTTCTTGTACCAAGATCGCCCTCCCTGTGATAATGGACATCATGGTGGCCGTTACCAGATCTTTTCGGCCAAGTGTCAGCGTTTCTTTCTCAATCTTGCCGAGTGCAATATTTCTCCATACCTTGTATTTGACGGAGCCTTAGAGATGGATGACAAGAAGCTTGCAGAAACCAAGTCTAGGAGCCAGGAACGTATCCGAACGGCTGTTGCTATTCCTAGTGGTAGTGGTGGGATAGCCGTTTCTCCTTGCAGTGCATTGGTGTTCATGAAGGTGCTGGATGATCTTGGCATTCCGTATGTATTTTGTGACTTTGAGGCAGATGCTGAAACTGCAGCTCTGGCTAATGCTTTGGACTGTGCAGCAGCTTCCGGTGACAGTGACTTCTACATCATGGACCTGAGAGATGGATACTTGCCACTGAACCACTTTGACTGGATGAATCCTAAAATGATTAAGGTGTCAGAAGCAGCAGCACCATCGGGTCAGCTGTACATTGAGTGTAAGAAGTACAAGAGTAGTGCCTTCTGCAAGATGTTCCATGTCAAGCAGACATTACTGCCCATACTTGCAACTGCTGTTGGAAATGATTACAAAGACACCTTTGGAGCCTCTCTTGACCCATTCCAAAGCTTTGTTCATTCCAAGTTTTTTTCATCAAAGACGGGCAGGAGAAGCTACGACCAGATTGTTAGTTATCTTTCCTGGCTGAAAGAAAAGGAGACAAAGGAGGAAGCCATCTATGACATGGTCAGGCATGTGAGAGGAGCTGATCGAGAGAAGCTGAGACGCTTGATTGATGCATCCCTTGAGATGTACCACTTTTCAGATAGCCTGACCGTGGCACACTTTACTGGTGGTCAGTTGAATCCTAAACGAAGTAAGTTGGCAGCGTGTGCTTCTGTACCACCCTGGTTTGTTGATCTGCTGAATCGGGGCAAGGTTGCAGCAATGTGCGCCAATGTCCTTTGCAACAAAAGGGTCTTCCTTAAAATTCAGGTGGAAGACTCTCGCCAGGTCAGCGCTGGGGGAGCATCACTCAACATCAGAGCCATCTTGTATGGCATCCTGCTTAAGGGGCAAAAGTCAGCCTCTAGAAGGCCACCAGTTGTTGAGGAGTATGCACAGTCATCTGGGAGTCTGAAGCACAGTATTGTCGAGCCAGCCTATGACATCGCTGGATGTGATGGGCGGAAGTTAGCTTTGCCCAGTCTACAGGATATCCCAGATATGTATGAAACTGATCGCAGAGAAATTCTCCTTGCTGCAGCAGGGATTGGTGGCTCAGTCATTCTCAGCATTCCAGCGTTGTTCCAACTTGCTACTTGTGTGACTTTAAACTTGCTCAGTCATGCAAACCCACCTGTCTACTCTGACCAGATAGTAGCCCTTCTTGTCAGCTGGTTACATGGAGTTGCGGCAAGCAGGCAGAAATACATCAACAAAGACCAAGACACTCCAAAGCTCCTTCAAGTAGACCTGGAAAACTCTGATATGCATGCCATCCTCACAAACTGTAAGCCACATGAGAACAAGTACGAGGAGTCCCGACAGTTAGATGTAGAGGTCATCCAGGCGATGGCACAGTGGCAGCAGTGCTTGCTTGACTTAGTCCATCTGAATAAAGTTCTGCTCAGTCCATTTGTGTATCCTGATATGGCAGTCCTGTACAATGGTCCTCTGATACACAGTCTCTGCATCATTCTGAAGCCAATGTCTTCAACAGAGCAGCAATTACAGTGGGTGGTGAGAGAGCTCTTGGGTGACACCATGCCAGGAATTCATGCATTGCTTGATCAGCTCCTTAAGCCCTTGTCGCCCTTTCTCATGCCAAGGAAGAGGACCAACAAAAGCAAGAAGGGTAAGAAGGCACCATCCAGGCCAGGAACCTCAAGGCCATCCATGGACACCCCTCCTGCGAGAGGTGCTGAAGGTGGTGCAGAGAGAGACACTGAGGAAGTATTTTATAGTGTCCGGGTTTCCAACAGGTTTGCTGCACTGGGATGGAATGAGTGAGATCCACTAGTTTGATTCCTTTGACATGGTTTATAAAAACTAAATGAAAAATACTTCATGTGTAAAGTTATTAAATGTATATTATATATCTTAAACAATTACATGATACTGCAAATTTTAGCTCAGTGCAGCTTTGAAGTTCTTTGTATTGTTGTGATTCTTTGTACATTTCCAGGATAACTGAAATTGAGAAATGTTTTAAAACTTCAATATCTAATAAAAAAGTGATTAAAAGAAACAAATGGGTATGTTTTGAGGCTGAATATAGACAGAAAAGGGCTGCGAAAAAAAATAAGGTCACTTTAAAAAAAAGTTTTACCCAGACTGGCAGTTTGACCCCCAACCCAAAACCTTTGTGTTTATGCAAAAAGTACTGGTTTTGACTGGGTTGCATACAAGGGATGGATCGGGGAGGATAGGATAGATGAATATTGGAAAGGTCAATATCGGCAGTTCGTTCTGTACTTACGTGGGAATCCTTAAAAACCGGCAGGCTAAGAATATGAAAAAATATTTAAAGAATTGGGCTAATAGGGGCAATATTTTACTCCTGTTGCTCTGGATCCCCCGTCTTCCACTTGCACTTGCCTGAACGCTACTGTATCTCTGGGACCCGACTCATACATTAGACAGCCACATAAAATTACCGAAACCAAACTAGCCATTAATTATGAAAGGCGCCCTCTGCATGTAAATGTGTTTTGTATAATAAACGTGATGATTGATGATCACGTGCACGCGTGACAAGGGCGCGAATGTAGTGCGGAAGTCGGAAGTCAGTCACACAGCTGTTAGTGTTACTGAGTCATGGTGTAGTATGTAGTCAACTCGTAAGCGAGGTAGGTTTGCCCCAAAGAAAGATCATTCATTTTTACTGCCACAACGGTCGTTAGAAATTCAACAAAGATTTCTTCGAAAGAATGTATGAAGAGAATAGTGTATGACGTATGGCCACTTCATCTCAATGAAGGTCTGTCATGGAAAAAATGTTGCAACCCAACCTGACGCCACTTCCGCGATTGTGTTCAAAGTCTATGGAGAGTCGAGAAAATTTTCTAAGTATTTCACAACAAAATTGGAAATGTTTCTCAGTCACAGATTCATGTCTTAATATGTCTTATCATCATTTTTGCAATGACGGAAAAAGTGGCGTCTAGGTTTCCACATTTTTTTTCCGGAAAGACTTTGAAAATGTTCTTGAGAGTTTGAATGCAACATTGGTGTTTTTGCAATGCGGAACGATGGCAGCTGCAGTTGAATATTGCGTTACGGCTGCCGTAACATATAGCCACTGCCTATATATTATTTGATGTTTGATGCGTCTGCCATCCATTCAATATCATGCACGCTCAAAACTAAGCCAACAAGTTGAAGTAATGTTTCTTAATGCCTTGCCAACTGTAGTATTCAGATTCAGATTCAGTCTTCAGAATTTTGTTTTAATATGGAATTTACATCGGGGAGTATATATCAATTCAGTGTTCGGTTGATCATTATTACTGACATGTTTTATAACTCCTAGTACATTGTATAAACTGCATATGATGTAAATATTCCTACTTTATTAAAACCTGATTAACCCGAAGAGCCAAAAATTTCAGTGAAGTTATTTGAATCTCATTCTTTTTCTTTCTAAATGATTATTGTGACAAAGTTAAGATCAGTCGTTAAGCGTTGCAAGTTGAATCAGGATACTGCATAAAGTGACATGAGGCTATATGAGTTCAAGAGTAACAATTGGGTTTGACTGGTGTACACTGGTTGAATGACAATCCTGTGTTACTCCCATGTCCATGTGTTTTACTATAGTGTATTTTTTTTGTGAACTCGGTGGCAAACTAGATCTAAAACTGGCAATTTTGCTGATCTTCAGAGATTGTAATTTCACTTACATCTCATTTGTGCACAAAACTTCACTTGATCCAAGAAACTTAATTATTTAGGCCTTACTGTATAATGTTAAAGGTTAGACTGCAATGCTATATGAGTACTGAATGTTTCGACATTGTCACCAGATAACAAATTTACACTATTCCGGATCTATGGATGAGGAACATGGTGTGCAGCAACTTGAAGAGACCTTGGTAAATTACATCTCAATTTATTCATATACACATTTTATCCGCTTACAGGTGAATGTACAACTGCAACTTGTTTCGCAGGGAGAAGATTGAACACACCTTTTCCATCTGTCTTGACTATTCAAGTGACTTCAATACAAGCTGCACTGCATGTTGACATTGCTAATCTTGCTGGTGCAGCATGGGAGTCAGGGGACTTACTTCTATGATTGAGCAGCATCCGTCATTGTTCACAAGGCATTGCCTACATGATGCACGTCTCGCCATTGATGGCTATGCACTCAGGTACTTCTTGTACCAAGATCGCCCTCCCTGTGATGATGGACATCATGGTGGCCGTTACCAGATCTTTTCGGCCAAGTGTCAGCTTTTCTTTCTCAATCTTGCCAAGTGCAATATTTCTCCATACCTTGTGTTTGACGGAGCCTTAGAGATGGATGACAAGAAGCTTGCAGAAACCAAGTCTAGGAACCAGGAACGTATCCGAACAGCTGTTGCTATTTCTAGTGGTAGAGGTGGGAAAGCAGTTTCTCCTTGCAGTGCATTGGTGTTCATGAAGGTGCTGGATGATCTTGGCATTCCGTATGTATTTTGTGACTTTGAAGCAGATGCTGAAACTGCAGCTCTGGCTAATGCTTTGGACTGTGCAGCAGCTTCCCGTGACAGTGACTTCTACATCATGGACCTGAGAGATGGATACTTGCCACTGGACCACTTTGACTGGAAGAATCCTAGAAGGATTAAGGTGTCAGAAGCAGCAGCACAGCCAAGTGGGTGGAAGCATAAGACGACAGCCAACCCATCATCGGGTCAGCTGTACATTGAGTGTATGATGTACAAGAGTAGTGCCTTCTGCAAGATGTTCCATGTCAAGCAGGCATTACTGCCCATACTTGCAACTGCTGTTGGAAATGATTACAAAGACACCTTTGGAGCCTCTCTTGACCCATTCCAAAGCTTTGTTCATTCCAAGTTTTTTCGATCAAAGACGGGCAGGAGGAGCTACGACCAGATTGTTAGTTATCTATCCTGGCTGAGTGAAAAGGAGACAAAGGAGGAAGCCATCCATGACATGGTCAGGCATTTGAGAGGAGCTGATCGAGAGAAGCTGATATGCTTGATTGATGCATCCCTTGAGATGTACCACTTTTCAGATAGCCTGACCAAGGCGTACTTTTCTGGTGGTCTGTTGAAACCTGAACGAAGTAAGTTGGCAACGTGTGCTTCTGTACCACCCTGGTTTGTTGCTCTGCTGAATCGGGGCAAGGTTTCAGCAATGTGCGCCAATGTCCTTTGCAACAAAAGGGTCTTCCTTACAATTCAGTTGGAAGACTCTCGCCAGCCCAGCGCTGGGGGAGCATCACTCAACATCAGAGCCATCTTGTATGGCATCCTGCTACAGGAGCAAAAGTCAACCTCTAGAAGGCCACCAGTTGTTGAGGAGTATGCACAGTCATCTGGGAGTCTGAAGCACAGGATTGTCGAGCCAGCCTATGACATCGCTGGAGGTGATGGGCGGAAGTTAGCTTTGCCCAGTCTACAGGATATCCCAGATATGTATGAAACTGATCGCAGAGCAATTCTCCTTGCTGCAGCAGGGATTGATGGCTCAGTCATTCGCAGCATTCCAGCGTTGTTCCAACTTGCTACTTGTGTGACTTTAAACTTGCTCAGTCATGCAGACCCAACTGTCTACTCTTACCAGATAGTAGCCCTTCTTGTCAGCTGGTTACATGGAGTTGCGGCAAGCAGGCAGAGATACATCAGCAAAGGCCAAGGCACTCCAAAGCTCCTTCAAGTGGGCCTGGAAAATTCAGATGTGCATGCCATCCTCGCAAACTGTAAGCCACATGAGAACATATACAAGTCCCGACAGTTAGATGTAGAGGTCATCCAGGCGATGGCACAGTGGCAGCAGTGCATGCTTGGCTTAGTCAATCTGAATAAAGTTCTGCTCAGTCCATTTGTGTATCCTGATATGGCAGTCCTGTACAATGGTCCTCTGATACACAGTCTCTGCATCAATCTGAAGCCAATGTCTTCAACAGTGCAGCGACAGTGGGTGGTGAAAGAACTCTTGCGTGGCACCAGGCCAAGAATTCGGGCATTGTTTGATCAGCTCCTTGAGCCCTCCTGGCCCTTTCTCATGCCAAGGAAGAGGACCAAAAAGAGCAAGAAGGGCAAGAAGGCACCATCCAGGCCAGGAACCTCAAGGCCATCCATGGACACCCCTCCTGCGAGAGGTGCTGAAGGTGGTGCAGAGAGAGACACTGAAGAAGTAACTTATGGTGTCGAGGTTTCCAGCAGGTTTGCTGCACTGGGATGGAATGAGTGAGATCCACTAGTTTGATTCCTTTGACCTGTATGTCTTTGATACTGTGCATTCAGCTTATATAGTTCATTACACCAAGGATCACATTTTTTGTTGTAATCATGTTCAGTTATTTTGATCAGTAGCTGCACAACGACATAAAATGTAACTGATATTTCCCATCTTAAAGAAGAAATCTGTTGTTTATTGTGTACTATTTTATAGTAGTTTCTTGATGTTCAGAAGAAATTGGTGTATCTTTTGTGTCAAAATATTATATATTTTTAATTTGGATATATGATTGTTAAAGTATTTTACACTTCCTTCAAAAGGGTATTTGCCCTTTTCTATTTACCTCTTCATCAATTTAATTGTGAGTTTCTGTTAAGCTTTTGATTGGTTGTTTTTTCATTGATAACTTTAAAGGGCATCCAATCTCAATTGAGAATCAAATGATATAAAATAGCTTCTTTCATCTCATTTTTGGAAACAAATGCATGTTTACAGTTCAAAACCAGACGTAAATCTAATTGCACTGCCTGGCTTGCGGGGATAAATATTTTATCCAAAATTGAAACTTAACCTCAAGAGTTTATAAAATGTGCACTGCATGGCAACTATCCATATTTGTGTAAATTCCTATATTGTTCATTTTGAAATATCAGTTGGTGCAAAATCTATATTTTTGGTGCTATAATTAAAAGACATTAAAATACTTGACACATTTTTTTCTAGTACAGATTTAAGAAGAAATTGTTCATGCTGTATGCAGATGTCTTTGAAATTGACATTTGTTTGGTGAACAACTTAACCCTAACCCCGCTAAATGCAACAGAATGCAACATATTGCAACTGTGGTAAAAAGTTGTTGCAAGTTGTTGCATTTAGCAGCCAACTCAAGTCCCCATGCTTTGTTGAATCTTGTTGCATTTGGCAGGGTAACTGGTTGGTACCATGGCTGGTATGCAATGGGTTCACTGCACAATGCTACAGAATCCACTGTTGCAATTTGTTGCATTTAGCAGGGTAACTGGTTGGTACCATGGCTGGTATGCAATGGGTTCACTGCACAATGCTACAGAATCCACTGTTGCAATTTGTTGCATTTAGCAGGGTAACTGCTTGGTGCCAGGGCTGGTATGCACTGGGTTCACTGCACAATGCTACAGAATCCACTGTTGCAATTTGTTGCATTTAGCAGAGTAACTGCTTGGTACCATGGCTGGTATGCAATGGGTTCACTACACAATGCTACAGAATCCACTGTTGAAATTTGTTGCATCATGGTTGTCATTTGAGTTGAGTGGATATTGTTGCATTTAGCAGGGTACCTGAAGAATACCCAATGGGGTGGTCAGAGTTAGGTGTTTCCATACAAGGAGGTAGATTGCAAATATAATCCACTATGCCTCATAATCATTTGATTGTCAAACCCAGTGTCTGTTTCAAGTTTTGAAGTTTGATTTGGTTTATTCTTCAGAGATTACCTTTTTTTTTTTTTTTTACTTTTGACTTAGGATTTTCAATGTGAGTTCAAAGGTTATGATGTTGGCAGGTTAATTGAATCTGTTAAGTATGCAACTTCATGTATAATTATGCAAAATTTTTAAATTTTTAAAACTAAATGAAAAATACTTCATGTGTAAAGTTAAAAATGTATATTATATATCTTATAAAACTGTAAATATTAGCTCAGTGCAGCTTTTAAGTTTACATTTATGCATCATGATTCTAGTACATTTCCAGGATAACTGAAATTGAGAAATGTTTTAAAACTTCAATATATGTGTATCTAATAAAAAAGGGATTAAAAGAAACAAATTCGTATGTTTGAGGCTGATTAGAGACAGAAAAGGGCTGCGAAAAATAAATTAGGTCACTTTTAAAAGAAGTTTTACCCAGACTGGCAGTTTGACCCCCAACCCAAAACCTTGTGTTTATGCTAAAAGTACTGTAAAATTGATTCTAGATGTTCTGTGGTGTGATCTGAAGCAATTTCTTACCACTTTCCTCCCTGCTTTAACTAATATTTTCTTAGCAAAAAATTCTTATTTGAACATCGTTTTCGAGGTTGGAGTCATTGAATCAGCTATCGGGATTCTGAGCTATAGGCGTGGGGTTCGGGGCCCGAATAAAATTGGATTCTCGATGCTCTGTGGTGTGATCTGAGGCAATTTCTTACCACTTTAACCAATAATAACCTTAGCACAAAAGATAATAATTTAAACATAATTTTCGAGGTATTCTCAGCTAAAGGCATAAGAAATTTTTTTGAACATTGTTTTCGAGGTTGGAGTCATTGAATCAGCCACCAGAATTCTGAGCTTTAGGCGTGGGGTTCGGGGCCCGCTTAACTGAGGGCCCCGAAAAAAATGTGGATTGTAAATGCTCTGTGGTGCTATCTGAGGCAATTTCTGACCACTTTAAGCAATATTTTCTAAGCAAAAGATACATTGTAGTACATAATAGGGCACTGTAAATGAGACTCGAGTTCAAAAATCTGGGGGGGGGGGGACATTTAATATTGTGTCCCCCACCCTTCAAAAAGTGGGGGGGGGGGGGGGGGGGGGGGGACATGTCCCCTGTCCACCAAGGATTGACGCCCCTGGCGTCATGTAGATCAATGATAATTTTTTTAGAAACTCAAAATCTCAGTGGGGAGGGCGACTGGGGGGGGGGGGGCGACAAGGTTTCATGGGGGGCGGTCGCCCCCCCCCCCCCACGCCCCCCCCCCCCCCCCCCCCCCCCCCGGTGGCTACGCCACTGCAAGGGACGGATCGGGGGAGGATAGGATAGATGATTGGAAAAGTCAATATCGGCAGTTCGTTCTGTACTTACGTGGGAATCCTTAAAAATCGGCAGACTAAGTACATGAAAAAATATTTCAAGAAGTGGGCTATTATGGGGGCAATAGCTTGCTCTGGATCCCCAGTCTTCCACTTGCACCTGCCTATTGAGAAGGATGTTATTTGATACTGGTTTGGGATGAAATCAAATGGACGTCCGAACTTCAAAGGCAGTGGAACCAGACCTCTGTTAATTAACATGAAGGTAGAAAATACTCTGCACTAATTATTAAATTCGGGGCACCTTTTGTACTAAGTTTTGTGTGGACTTAATACACTGGCGCACCCGCACCGGCCGCCACTAGTCACTGGCGATACATCGTATACACGTACAAAAACAGCAAGTGCCAATCGTTGCCGCGCATGCGCAGCTTCATTAACATTCTAATCGCCTTCGCGAGCTTCGAAAATGGCAGGAAAGAAGAAACCGACGAAATCTCGTAAAAAGGGGAAAAGTAAGGGGCCAATGGTAAGAAAATAGTCTTTTCAGAAAATGAGTTAGCATTATCTCTGTCACTGGGATCTCGTACAGGTGGAATGGATCGAAAATAAAGATAATTTCGATGTCTTTGTTGGGTCATTGAGCGTTGTCAAAAACTGTCGCTCCGTTCCGCGTTGTTACGCTTGATGATAGTGTAAACGTTGCCATGCCAATTTGGCCATTTTGACCCGGCGTAAAATATCGGGTTGTTTTTCTCACACCGATTAGATCATGAATTGAAACATTTCTCAATTAATCCTGTGGATTGTTCCATGCTTTCTTTCTGTAGGGGCCTAGGCCTTTTCAGGCCCTAGGCCTATTTCTTTTTGTAAGAAAATTATTAAATAATAACGGAAAGCTAAAGACTAAAGTGGACAGATATTGAATTTTTTATTAAAAATAGGCCTTCATGTATTCCATAGTGGCTATTGTTACGGCAGCCGTAATGCAATTTTCGACTGCTATCGTTACGGCAAGTACCATTGCAAATCTAGGCCCTGGCCTATATCATTTTATAACGTCCCTTCCAGAATGTTTTGATAGTTCGATTGGTAAAATTGGTTATAAATGTTCAGCTACTGACTGCAGAACAGCAGAAGATTCTGGGATATGACATGTACGTGATTGACCCCCGCGTTGCAGTTTATTTTGTCTTTTCTTTTTTTTTTCTTTAAAGTTTTCTTTACTTTTCTGTTTTTAATCAAATAATTCTTTTTATTTCAGTAGCCTACTCACTACTCAGTACATGTAGTATATTTAATTTTCCTCTTTGAAATTATTGGCTGTGGAGGATTTTTTTTAAAGGGAACTAATGCCTGAGAATCATTTGGTTGATAGTCTGGTTCCAGCAGTCGAAAATCCTGACGTTGATTATTGATAGCAGTTGAAAATCACATTACGGCTGCCGTAACTATAGCCATTGCATAAATAAACATTTAGGCCTATTCATTAATCAGGATCTTAGGGGGAAAAAAATTGATTTTCATTTTTTCCTTAAGTCCCACATAGGGTCAGCTCTCTTACCGAGGGCGATGTTCGCCGCAGTTCCCCGGTCGCCAGAGCCTCCGGCCGAGCCTCCAGAAGAGCGCCCTCCGTCGGCCCTGTCCTCCGCCCTCCTAAATGCCTCCTTGGTGGGCCGCATCATAGCCACCCGTACCCCTCCCCCTCCAGACAGCGGTACCTTAAGGAGCACTGGGGAGGGTGTGTCTACGTGGCCTAGGATGGCTCATCATCATCAGGATGCAGGCAATGCCAGTATGGAGAACAGTATGGCCCGGAGTAGCATGTATGACTATGATGAGAGTGATGAGGAGGATGGGGAGGAACAAGACTACGATGAAGCAGGGTGAGAGCTAGACCCGTGAACGTGGCTTGTAAACTACGCCACGCTGTTGTGTATTTTCAAACCTGGCGAACGTGTCCCTCTGACTCCCTCCGTTACACACACTGGACTTTATTTTGCCCATGAAATAAGTACTCACATATATGAAGCTGTATTGAATTCTATTTGTACGTCAAAACTTGCATTTGACAAAAATTGAGGAAAATTCTGGCCCCGTCCGCTACTGCTATCTGCCATTTTCTCCCAACTGATGGCTGTTTACTGTCGCAGCTAAAACAGACATCGTTTTAGACAGGTTTCAAGTCCTTTCCTCTCTCACCGCACCGCACGCGGTCGCACGTGCGCCCGCGTGTGTGTGCGCATACGTACTGTACACGAGATGAGCCGAGCAGCCAATCGTCTGGGTTTTTTTTTTCGGGGTTGCGACATGAAACAGCCGTCAATCTGTCCAAGCGACTCGGACGCGTCCGGGGTTATTTGTCAGGGTCAGGTTAAAATCTAATTTCTACACGTTCGTATGGGTCTTTACTGATGGGCAAATTTCGTCGAAATTACACAGCCTAAACAATCGGACGGGCAAATTTAGATTTTTAGGTGAGTACTCAACACCCATACGGAATTATGTATGTCGAATCGATTTCGCCAGGTTCGAAATGACACAAGAACGTGGCGTTGTATACAACGCCACGTTCACGGGTCTAGGTGAGAGCCAGTCAGGATTTTTTGGCGTTCATTGAGCCTGAAAGTAAAAGATCATTTGGTTGAGCTTCCAGAGCCCTTGTGCGGCCCGCCTATGGGTATTTTGACACTAGGTTGCCCTCTTTCTTGCTATAATTTTTGACAGAGTGATTTCTAACCGTTATCACCTCAAGAAACATTGGAATTTTATTAATCATAAGAGAGAAATTTATAAAGCGAGGACAATCACAGAAAATGTCCACCTTGAGGCACTATATAACAAAGAATAAACATACAAGTTTGAAACAAATTACAGCACAACCAATATCAGGAGTTTAATTTAAATGAAACTAGAAAGTCAGTTTAAATTATTCAAAAATGCATTTAACAAATTGTATATTGGAATTGGGACTCGAGACCTAATCCAAACACATTTTGTTCTTTAAAGTTTCATATCGAATGAACTCCTAACATAAGTTAACCGAGCTGTACTCTCAGCTACAACGAACCATGATGTGTCAAGAAATTTAGACTATTTGTGTGCCATTGATTAAATCTGAGCTCGGCATAGTCTGAAAATATTGTTTTGCTATGAGGATGAGGGGCGTCTTCACAGGTATGTACGTATAGGCGGCTTTTGCTGCTTGTCAACAGCCTTGCAGGCGATCAACTGATTCACAAACGTACACACACACACAAAAGCGTCAGCAGCCTGATTTGCATGAGCAACTCGTGAACATATACACACTCACCCTTTTTCCGCTTCATAGTATATTGGTGATACAGCGTAGCAGTAATAGGGTCACTTGACTAACTGTCGATAAAAAAAAACCCAAAGAAGTGATCTAAAGTGGCTGATATGTATTTGGAACAGGTATTCAACGATACCCCTTGCCCAAGCTGTACGTCAGAAACGCAACACCATCAGTAACCGCGCTAAGCTAGTCACGCCCGTCCACAGCCAGTCAGATTCCATGCTGAGTAGCGACGATGATGAGGACAATGATGCTGGAAACGAAGGCATCCGCCCCCAAGACCATGCCCCTCTCACAAAGAGTGGCCAAGAACAGGAGAGGTTTTACCACATATTGGAGAAGGACGAGGGGGTGGGGCATGAGGGTGTTGATGGTAGGCGGCCCTCATCAACAGATGAGAATGTGAAGAGATCCAAGGAAAGACGTCGAAAAGACGGGAGGACAGCTCCGGACAGCCGTGTCGAAGACTTGTATGCTAAGAGCAGGAAGCACAAAAAACAAGTGAGGCACACGTCTTTCATTGGGACATCAGTGTAGTGAAGTCCCCACAATTAAGTCAGTCCCAAGTCCTTCAGTCTGAAGCTATTGGACAGAGGCATATTCCTTTGTTAGGCCAAAAAAAAAATAAGTCGGTCTCTGGTCAGCGCACGTGTCGATTTTAATCATGCGCGTCGATCTTTTTTTTTTCCAAAATGTTCCGCGGTAGCTCCAACAGCGCCCTCTATTTCCACACCTCAATTTTTTTTACCAAAGAGCACCAAGGAATGGGAAATTGCACCAAGGCAAATGATCGAAAGCACCAAGGCAAATTATGGAGGACACCAATGTACATGAGGACACCAAAAAAGCAAAATAGTACCCCACCTTGTCTGAAGAAAAAAAAAAGCAATCAATTCCGGAACTTTGGTCTGACCAGAGACCGATTATTATTTTTTTTGGCCTTAGTATGCGCCCCCTGTTACTTGTTACCTGCGCTGTGATTTGACTTGTGACCGATTTGTAATTTGACTTGTGATGGACTGGACATACCTGGGCTAGTGCTGCTTTTGAAAGGGCGTAATCAATGCAAAGTACTCAAAGTTCTCACGTTTGGCTTAAATATTTTGTTTTATCTTGTGTTTTTCTATGTCACTCTACTGTGCCATTTTCGTATCGACATTGTGCCACATTTGAGGTAAATCATGTACATTGTTATAATCACTGCACCCAAAGTAGTAAGAAAAAAAGAAAGAAATAATTTTGTTGGAATTTGATGGTTTAAAAATCTATTCTTTTCCTTTAATGCTGATTCATAAATACCTAAGACAGTTTACGCATTCCTATTGGTCGAGAGCCCATCACGTGGCCAGTCTTAAACGGATGATAAAGACATGGCTAGCTGGTCTTAAACACTTTTCCAGTGTCACAATAAAATGTGGACTCCTAAAAATCCAGTGCCTCTTATCGTTTCATTGGTTGAACGTTCACAATCCTCACGTAGGCATGTGCAACACTACCAGGGAGTTAGAATTTTATAGTTCTAAATTCAAAACGCAACGCGCCAGGTGCGTTCTGCGCGACATCGCGTAGAACATGATACGCGCGCGTCAATCTCCATAAAAGGGTTGTTTACATCTTACTCGCCAGCTGAACACTCCATTATTTTGCAGGAGGGATGTTTCAAAAAGCATAAAGTGAATTTGTTGAACAAAATCGGGATGTTTTGAACGAATTATATGATTTTTTTTAACCAAAAGGTATTTATGAATGGGAATAAATATGTGCTCCATCGGTATTTATCACTCTGTTTAAGACCACTTAGAGTCTGGGTGCTGATAATTACCCTCGCCTCCGGCTCGGGTAATTATCAGCACCCAGACTCTAAGTGGTATTAAACAGAGTGATAAAAACCTCCGGAGCACACATTTATTCCCTTATGAACACTTAATGCTGATTAACAATTAACATATTTCAGGATTATGGTACACGTTTTATGTACAACACCCATTGGCCTTCATGCATAAACCTTTTAATATATGTATTTTCACTTTTTGATCAGCAGCCAGTGCAGCGGCAGTCAGCTGACCTATCAGAGAGCAGCAGCCTCACCATGGTAACCAGCCCCCAGGAAGACGACTTTTCGGATCTGATCACCCCGCCTCCACCCTGGAAACGGAAGGGCAAGAAAAAGAACAAAAAGAAAGGTGGATTGTACATTCTAATGTTTGTTGTACATTCTAATTGTATTGGCCACTGGTTTACCATAGGTCATAATCAATTCAACCATCGTGTGATTATAAGTTCCACTCACAGGAATGTTAGTGCAACCTTCTTTAGCCGAACATGCCAACCCAAAGACTGTGAATAACAATAATGTTGTAAAAACTATCATCAAAATGACGGTGCCCAATGTCATATAAGTGTCACATTGTAGATCGCAGCTGTTAAAATCCTTGAAAAAAATGACTTGGACAGGAAGCAACATTGTTAATTGATTGATATCTTGTCAACAGGTGCTGGAGTCAGCCCTGACAGGTTGACGGAGGAGGATGCCAGAAGTGAGAGGAGTCAGCGACTGGGCCCGGAAGATGACGTGGATAGTGAACACGTTCATGAACCGGTAAGCTGGTTTGCAGGGGCAAGTGGTTTGCGGGGGGCCTGGTCTTTATGGATCCCACTTACAAATAATTATTAACTGTGAAAATGACAAAGATTGCTGTAATTGAGGCACACTTGCCAGCCATCTTGGCACTGTGCACAAACGCTCAGGTGCACTCGTCTCGTGCATAGACACTGACCCAGCAACGAATCTTGCATTCAAATCTACATGAGTAGACACTTGCTTATTCGTGTTTTGTTTTTGTCTGTGGCAGATTGTTGAGAGGATTGAGGCAAGTAGTGTCAGTGCCATGCAGCAGTCACAACCTCCTGTCCCAGCTCCAAGAAGTGCCTCACGCCAAAGCCAAGATGAATCTGGTAAAAACAAAAACAAACACGGCCCTTTTATGAATGCATTTAAAAAACGAATAAACGTTTTTGCAAGGTGTAAATTCTCTGATCAAACTGACCTAAAAATGTGTGTTCCCCCTTTATTCACACAGAGACCTACTCGCATATCCAGCGCCAGCCGAGCGTGGCCACGCTCCAGAGCCATGCAGCCCAGGAGGAGGAGTACTTGAGGAGGACCAACTCCCGTCTGGAGCGGGAGCTGGAGATGGTCCAGAGGGAGCGGGAACAGCTCCTGGAAGGGCTCAAGAGCATGTCCCCACCCCCGCACCAGCCTCGGAGGCAGTTGGAGGATGAGGGGGACTCTGAACGGTTAAGGATGGGAATACAGAGGCTGACATCCATCAATGGTGGGTATATTTCTTCAAAGCTATTTATTGTTATTATCTACATGTATTGTAATGAAACCAAGGATTATTTCAAAAGTGCACGAGCATTGTACGTTGCTCCAAAACCTGAAAAATGTAGACACAGATGATAAAGAAATACATTCAGAAAAAGCTTCATCACAATGTTAGCTGTCACAGGTTTTTTTTTTTTGGGGGGGGGGTGCAGTGGCGTCACCAGACGTTTCAGTCTGGGGGGGCACAGGGGGAGCACCAGCATTTGATGGGGGGCACTTAGGTGGATACGGATTGCCGTCCTGGGGGAGGGGTCTAATGGAAAATTTTCGCATACGGAGGATGGGCTAGATGCAAAATGGTGCCACATTTGATGCTAAATTCGATCTGAAGATATCTCCAGAAATTGCTATTTAACCAACTCAGATGATGGGAGTTGAATATAACAAAATATATATATATTTTTTTACCAACCCAAATCTCAGATGGGGGGGCACTCGGGGGGGGCACTAGGTTTTCCAGGGGGGGCACGTGCCCCCCCTGGCCCCCCCTTGGCGACGCCACTGGGGGGGTGTGGGGGATGCATGGCTGCATTGAGTTGCTGTGATGGTTATGAATTACATGCACGGTAATGTACAAGACATGCATTGTAAGTAGATAGAATTACACACAAACACTGCTCAGACAAAATGCACTTGCCCAATCAATTTTGCTCAGTTTTAATCAAACAGTGCACAGATTATCCAGTGCAGAATGTCAAATTCGGAAAGAATTTAGTATCCAGACGCCACCTCAGTAGTTGTGTACAAAGTCTATGGAGAGTCAAGAATATTCTCAAAGTATTTGCTAACAAAATTGGAAATGTTTCTCAGTCCAAGATGCATGTCTTTTCAACATTTGTGCAATGACTGACTTTCGTTGAGATGATGTATGCCGAAAAAAAAGTGGCGTCAGGTTGCAACATTCTTTCCTCAAATTCCTTCAACTCGATGAAGCACATGATACAGTGAAGAAATGCAAAGAAAAGTTCATACTATAGTTTCTTAAATAGCTAGAAAACGGTTGATAAGTCTAAAATTCACCCACTGAGACATGCAGCTTTTAGTTTTTTTGGATAAACGTTCCAATTCTGAATCCAGATGACACGCAGAGGCAACTGGATGAAATGCATCAGCACTGTGACAAGTTGCGGCTGGAGAACGAGGCTATCAAAGAGGTCAACGACCGGCTGCACACAGAGAACACCAAACTGAGGGACTTGTCGGAGTCCATTAAAAATGAGGGTTAGTCATGAATCCATCCAAGTCCACCTTCCTCTTCTTTCCAGAAAAATTATTGCCAACAGAATTCAATAAAAATAGTGGACTGTTTGATGCGGCCTTGAATTCTTCATCACGTCTTGATGGTGCATTGTACGTGTTATGAATTGCCTTATGATACTGGCCTTATCGCTAATAATGTAAATCACTTTAATCTTTGTTGAAAACCCTAAACAAAACTACTCGTAAAATTAAATTTACTTTTCTCACTGGAAAAATTTACGTTTTTGTCACCAGACCATTCACAGCAAGTGTTGATGAGACAACAAGCTGAGGAGGTATTAGGGGAAAATGAACAACTGAAGATGGTCATCCACAAACTCAACATTCAACTGAGCAGGTACCAGGCCAAGCACTCCCCTCCACAGGTAGGCTGATTAGCTGACAGGAATCAACAAACTCATAATCCACAAACTCAACATTCAACTGAGCAGGTACCAGGCCAAGCACTCCCCTCCACAGGTAGGCTGATTAGCTGACAGGAATCAACAAACTCATAATCCACAAACTCAACATTCAACTGAGCAGGTATCAGGCCAAGCACTCCCCTCCACAGGTAGGCTGATTAGCTGATAAGAATCAACAAACTCATAATCCACAAACTAAACATTCAACTGAGCAGGTATCAGGCCAAGTACTCCCATCCATTGGTGAGCTGATTAGCTGATAAGAATCAACAAACTCAAATCCACAAACTCAACATTCAACTGAGCAGATATCAGGCCAAGTACTCCCCTCCACAGGTAGGCTGATTAGCTGACAGGAATCAACAAACTCATAATCCACAAACTCAACATTCAACTCAGCAGGTACCAAGCCAAGCACTCCCCTCCACAGGTAGGCTGATAAGCTGACAGGAATCAACAAACTCATAATCCACAAACTCAACATTCAACTGAGCAGATATCAGGCCAAGTACTCCCCTCCACAGGTAGGCTGATTAGCTGACAGGAATCAACATACTCATAATCCACAAACTCAACATTCAACTGAGCAGGTACCAGGCCAAGCACTCCCCTCCACAGGTAGGCTGATTAGCTGACAGAAATCAACAAACTCATAATCCACAAACTCAACATTCAACTGAGCAGATATCAGGCCAAGTACTCCCCTCCACAGGTAGGCTGATTAGCTGACAGGAATCAACAAACTCATAATCCACAAACTCAACATTCAACTGAGCAGATATCAGGCCAAGTACTCCCCTCCACAGGTAGGCTGATTAGCTGACAGGAATCAACATACTCATAATCCACAAACTCAACATTCAACTGAGCAGATACCAGGCCAAGTACTCCCCTCCACAGGTAGGCTGATAAGCTGACAGGAATCAACAAACTCATAATCCACAAACTCAACATTCAACTGAGCAGATATCAGGCCTAGTACTCCCCTCCACAGGTAGGCTGATAAGCTGACAGGAATCAACAAACTCATAATCCACAAACTCAACAAGCAGTTAAGTTACAAAACAACATTCTTTTCAGAATGTACCAGGCTAATTAAGTGTCCCCTCCACAGGTAGGCTGGCTGGCTGAACGGAATCCATAAACTTATAATCCACTCACTCAATAATCAACTCAGTGTCCCCCATACACATTTTGCTGTCAACAGAAACTTGCTGATCAGCTTCTTTGAAGCTGTGCCATATATAATCAACAAGGCACAGTGGTACTTTTCCTCCCTCCTCATCGTTTCCTTTCTGCTGCTGGTTTTTCCCTTTTGTTAAGGCCAGTTCATACTTGGAGCGAAAGCAAAAGCGAACGCGAATATGTGAAATGGCAAGAATTCGCGCTGCGAAGTTAAACATTATTTCAACTCAGGCAAATTTCGCAGCGAATGTTTGCTGACGTCAAATTCGCTTTGCAGTCGCATTCACATGAAGTATGAACCAGTTTAGGCTTATATTCAACAAGCGCAGACTTTAGAGGTCGGTCCACTTCGATGAACCCTAGAATCAAGTACCAAAGAACGCATTTATTTCATCGACATTTTTTGTGTTCTTTCTACAGAAGAGTGACCCGCCTGGCTTGCCATCCCGAGGTAGAACTCCCCGCTGGCTGACAGACACCAAACACCTGTCTCCTCTCATCATGGCGTATGAGGATGCACTCAAAGACAAGGTGTGGATGAAGGGCATGCGCTAGCTTAGAGATATTACCCTCATTCGAGTGCTGTGGCCTCGTGGTTAAGGGCATTGGATTTGTGGTCTGCAGGTAAGGCTGCAGGTTGTGAGTTCAAATCCAGCCCGGGGTCATGTTGTGTCTGCCCTTGCGCAAGGCACTTTGTCGCATATTGCTTCTCTCCACCCAGGAGTAAATGGGTACCTGTGAAGGTACGGGCCATATGCGCTGATCTTGAGCTGCTGCAGAAGTGGTCTCATGGCCTGATGAACAGGGGTAATAATTGTAAAGCGCTTTGACACCTTTTGTACAAGGGGCTATAAGCACCACACTATTATTATTTCAAACTAATATTCCAGTCAACCCTGTTCCAAACAAAATACAGTCGAGTCTCGTTATAACAAACTCGTTCGGACCTAGCCAAATTGTTTGTTATATCAGAATTTTGTATTAAGAGGAACATCAGTCCCATTCATTGTGCACATAAATGCACAGTCGGGACCAAGGCTTTGTTTGTTATAACCAGAATTTTGTATTAACAGAGTTTGTACTAACGAGAGTCGACTGTACTCAGGTCAACCCAAATAGATTTCGGTTTCAGACACTGATGTGGTTCCATATGACTACAACAGTCAATCTTTCATTGCAATCAGTCCTACTTTAAACATCAAACTGTTCCAAAAACCAACACCTCAAGTTTCAACCCCCCCCCCCCCTGATTTTGTCTCCTCAGGACGAGATGATTAAGTTAGCCCAGGAGGACTTGAGCCGGCTGCGCAAGTCAGCAGAAGAGGTCATCCATGAGAACCAAAGATTGCACCTGAAGCTGGAGCAGGTGGGACAGCCTACCTCCGTCACTCCAACGGAATGGTAAGGACTCTGCTGTGACCCTGTCTTTGGTTTGTTACACCTATGTAGTTCAGTACATGTCTGAACATTGACAGAATGGTACATACCTTGCAACTGTGTGAAGTGCTCATTCAAAGACCAAAGAGTAAATTATTGATGATAATTACATGAATACCTTGCTTAAAGGGGCACTAGGTCCTGAAATCCCCAAAAATTTCATGTTTTGGATTGTTTACTTATCCTATTTCAAACATGTGGTTGAAAGGAAACCAACCTAATGTCTTACCGTTCCCGAGAAAAGACGAAAAAACCCGGTTGTTTACATCGGACACGACGGAGTACGAATACGTTTTTCGTGTCGTTCTCTAGTGTACGATATACACGTTGTGTGTCTCAGGATCAGCGGTGACCAATCACCAATGCAAAAAAATTGGTTTCTTCAACGTCCGCAAAAGGCGAACACTTTACGCGTACGAATGAAATCACAACTAGCATCCAAACGGCTCGAATTTATGGGGTCGCAAAAGTGGACCCCGAAATTCGTTCTCGCACACATAATACAGGAATAACACAAAAACGCCCAGTTTTTAAAGGGTAGTTGTGTGGATGTTTCTATCCTAGTTTTAAATGTTCTTTCCGATCAACATAATCTCGTTCGAAGCACGTTTTGTAGCTCAATTGGACTGTTCCAGGACCTAGTGTCCCTTTAATTCAAATAAGTTATGGACTTTATAGTTCAAGTTATGTATGCGTGCATGGTGTCCCTCCCCTTGGGACTTTTGAAAGGGGTCACAAAGCGCCACCTACCGTTGGTGCACAGAGCCCATAGGGATAGTAACAAGCAGGACGGTTTGGGGCAGGAAAGGACTAAGGCCAAAAAAAAAAAGTCTCCGGTTTCTGGTATGCGCGCGCGTCGCCGTAGCCATGCGCGTCGGCAAAATGAAAAAGTTTTTTTTTCAATGAAAGATGATGTCTCAAAACCGCCAAACTCACTGGTTTGACTGGAATCCTGCTGCTGCACAATTTTAACGTGTTTTTATATTGGGTTATGGTTGAGAATAAGCTTTATGTGGCCTCTCTGGACTCCCATATATTTGCACTAAGTTTAGTCGGGCACCATTTGCAGTCATCAGCCGACATTTGAAGCAAAAAAATCAGGTAAAAAAAAAAAAAAAGCTGCGTCGCCGCACCACTTTTTGGTCAAGCTCCATACCAGAAACAGGATCGACACTTTTTTTTTGGCCTAATGCATTAAATGCATTATTTGTTTGCAGGCATCGTATTCAGGAGCATGCTCGTCTGGTGCTTGAGGAGAACCAAGTAGTGCTGAGCCAGCTGGACATCCTACAGCGCAAGCAGAAGGACATGCAGAGGGCACACTCACTCGAAGGTAAGGCCAACAAATCTCTCTATATGGACTTCCTGCTTAAGTACCCACTCTACGTCCAAAAAGAAATAAGATTTGCAGGTTTGCATGGTGAAGATAGCAATAGGATAAAGTTTACAGTAGCACCATGTGACAGATCTCTTGTGTGAGTTTGTGAGGTTCTTAAAAGAATTGAGAGAAACTCAACAGTTTGGAATGTATACTCTGCTTGTTGTCACGTGATGAGGAAAGAAATAGTTAGGCAGAGTCTTTGCTGCAAATGAAGACGCTACAGGTTTATGCCTATTCAGATGAAAAGCTAGTCATGAGTACCTGATGTAATACGTGCATGCTCTCGGCTCTCGTAAGTGGTCGCAAAGTTTCATCTACTGTTTTTTTTTAAAGGGAATCCACTGCACCCTCCCTCCTCAGCTGTGAGAAAGTTGAAACAAGTTGTTTAGAGCAAGGATGGGTCTGAATTACTTGGCCACCAGTGGCGGCACTAAGGGGGGGGGGGGGGGATCCCCAAGTTGTTTCCTTGCCCCCCCCTCCCCCCCCCCCCCCCAGTTTTCCCCCAACACTTTATCTACAAATAGATTACTTATATTTATTTCCTTCGCTGTTAAAAATTCATAACAAGTTGAGGTTAGAGAGTGAATCATCAGTTCTGTGGACACATTTTAGACCAATGAAGACATTATAAACATTGGTACTTTGGTAGACAAAACACGCCACACATGCATTTATACAGCCGTAGATAGCCGTAGATTTTGGATATGATTATCAGATATTATTTTGAATGTCCCCAAACATATTTCCTTGCCCCAAAATTGCCCCTGCCCACCCCCCCAAGTTTTAGAATCTGGCGCTGCCACTGTTGGCCACAGCTGGCAATGACACAGGCATCTATGGGAAGTGGATTCAGTCACTCTCTTAGTGCATGTATTGCTGCCAGCCGCAGCCAGTAATTTGGTCACGGCTTCAATGCATGCACTTTGCATCCGGTGATATCTGATAAAGTGAAGTTTATCTGGTTCTCTTTTCCTTCCTACGCTAGTCTCCAAAATGAGCAAGCGACTTGCCATTGAGGAATCGGAAAAGGATGACCTGGAAGCCCAGCTGACGGACCTCAAGCACCGATATAGCGCCCTCAAGCAGCAGCACGACCGGTCCGTGGTGGACGCCGAGACCAAGATGCCCATCCAGGAGCATATGAGCACGCTGGCCGAGTACAAAAGGTAGACTTGACTTGCTCTGATTAAAGGGAATATACATCATTTGCTTTTGTTGTAATTTTCAGAAATGGATGGATTTGGGAGGTTAGTATTTTATAGCAAATATTGTTACACTGACGTTTTTGACGTTTTGGGTTCGTAGATGCAATAAAAACCAATAAAAACAATCATTTTCCTGTAGTCTGGTTCCCTGACTCCATTTAAGATGAAACTGAGCAATATATAGACGTTGGGGAATTGTAAGGTCAGGGAACCAGTCTGGCTGGCTTGTACCCATTCACAGGTGTGTAATCGATTGCAAACAAGTGCAGACTTAGAACTATTAAATATGGTCAATTGGGGCAAGTATTTGAAAAAAGTCAGGTTTTTCCAACGCTGGTCGGCCGACCAGCGTTGGAAATTGATACAAAATACCACTTTTCTTGAAAATGACAGTACACCAGGTGCCATGATTTTACAGCATGCTTTAGACTGTCATTCACTAACAGTCCAGCAAGATATTTCCTAATAATGTGGTAAATTATTTTTTGATGTTTGCAAATGTTGTAGTTTCCCTTTAAACGTAATATTATTTTAATAAAAGGACGATTTCAGTTGAAAATATATAAATCAGGTGATGGCAGAAACCCAAATCTAGTACTTGGATAGACCCTTGTGAATAAATTAATTAAGTTTTATTTTCACTCAAACTTATACAAGAAATCAGTTGATTCGTGAAGCAGTTTGAAGAAATATTTCACGTTTTCTTTTATTGCACTAATTAGAGGACTTGAAGAGGAACAGCGAAGTCACCAGGCCGAGATGGAGAATGTATTCTCCAAGCTGTCCTCAACCCAGGGGGAGAAAAAGACCCTGGCGCTGAGAGTGGCCGACAGTGAGGCAGAGCGGAGTCAAATGCAAGGAGAAATCAAGGCACTTGGCAGGGTTCAGAAGTGAGTTACAATCTGTAGACCTGTATGACTCCGGAAATGGCCTTTAAGATTTTTTTTTTAGTTCTGACCTTTCAAGACTAAATCAGATAACAAGCTTGTAGATTTTCATAGTTTGTAGGCATGCAACTTTTCCTCAGATCCGCAGATTTCTGCATTTTGTACTTCTCACGAATGCCATTACAAATTGAAAAACACTATACAAAGTCTTGTGTGGTTTGGAATTTCCACATTTTAAAAAAATTCCCTGTTTCATACCTGAGTTTGATAGACTCATTTTTGAGTCAACATTCATTGTGTGGTGTAAACTTGTTTGTTTCCGTGTCAAAATCTCATTGACACGGTTTTCAAGACCTTTCAACAGGGCTTTGTTCCTCTGCGAAACACACGAGAACACACCTTGTACTTTCATTGTCACTGACTTGAAATTACCAAAACCTGTCCTCAGTGAAGGCACTGTGTGCAAGGAGTGTGTAACCTTTTGTATCCTTTTGAATTTCAGAAAACTCCAGCACAAGATTGCCCTGCTCCAGAAGGAACTCGAACACAGTGAGAACAAGCTAGCTCTGTCCAACCAACACCTGAACAAGGTGCTGGAGATAGCAGAACAGACGGCCGCAGAGCGAGACGCCCTGACAAAAGTGGTAAGACAGACAGGCGTAGACACACATGAAAAGATGTTATGTGCATAGACCTGTTCAGAGTAAAATTAGTCTCACATACTCCTCACCACATGCAATGTGTTGTGCACATGGACACGAAACAGCCAGTGCAGGTTTGCACTGAGTTTATGGTCCATAAGATATTTTGTCGGTGAATTATTATTATTATTTCATTCCTTATCCCTGCCTAATATTTTCAACCGTAGACACATGTAAACTTCATGATAATATCCTTATAGAGCTGAAAGGTCTAATAATGATTTTGTTTTTTGCAATTCGCAGGCAAAAAGTCAAGAACAAGAGAAGAAGAAAGCTGTGAACAAAATGATAGAAGGGAACGTTACCATTGGCAGGCTGGAGGAAAAATTAAAGGTGAGCATTGTTTTTACAGTCTTTTTAACTTGGAATGAGATGTCATATGGCATGGCTCTTACTTTTTTTCAGTCGGGTGTGTTGCTAACTTTATGAATTTTAGAGCTTTTTGTATCAGAGCTTGGAAGTACACAGACAAGAAACATGGCCAGCATAAATCTGTAGTGGTATTGTCATGATATAATTGAGGCATTAATAATATTTGTATTTTCCTTTTTGTTGATAGTCCTACCGGCAGAAAGCCGACGTGAAGTTGGGAAACCTGTCAAGCCGCATAGAGGCCCAGGATAGCTCCCATATCAGCCAGCTTAGGGAGTACGAACGGGAAATGGCCCACCTGAAGACATTACTTCAACAGAAGCAAGACTCACTGGACATCCTAGCTTCTGAAAAAAGGTACACAACTCAAACACTTTATTTTTCCACTGTTTCTAGACTCTGCAGATGTAGTCAATTTTAATACTCAAGTATGCCCTTCGCCTATCCATCTTAAGCCCTCTGTAACTGGGTGTTATCTGAAATCTCACAAGATGAATTCACAAGTCTGCTCTGGTAGGAACCTAACCTAAAACACTCTGCTGACAAGTGCAGATGTCTGAACCAATCGTCTAAGCTTGCAGGGGTAAGCTGGCCGGTTCAAATGTGTCTTTGCAGTGGGTACTACGATCTACGACTTGTATGCAGTTCAATAATGTAACAAACATTCATGTGGGGCGATAATGGCATGGATTTTTCGAAATGGTGGGATTTTCAGCGTTTGGTTCTTTTGTTTCTAGGAAAGTTGAGGAACAACTGGAGACTGTCTGGCAGACGGCCAGCGCCGACAATCGCCGGATGAAAGCCAAGCTGAAGAAGTCACTGAGGGAGCCCCACTTGCAGAATGGTGCCCTCAACGGTGGTGCATTTGAGTACGAGTCGGACAACAGAGGCCTGATCTCATCTGAGAGCGACTAGGATACTATTGTTCAATAGAGGGAGACAAACACTATGGTCGATGGGCTGTCCCTGGCCAACCTATGCATGGATGGACAATATCAGGCCTTACAGGTTTAGAGTTGCAATCACATCCACAAAATCATCACCAAAGGTTTCAGTGGAATCTAATGCGATACTTCTTTGCAATAATGGCTGGCTATTCAGATTTCTGTTTTCCCATTTCTTTTCATTTTTCCTATTTACTTTTTCATCTGGTGAAGAATTAGTTGTTTTTTTTAAAGGATATTAAGAAAGAGCATTGATTTAACCTGGACCTTTACATCGGGGAAATGTAAGATTTCGTTATTTTTCCCTTTACCAGCGTAATTCATATTCGTCTTTTCTGATATAAACATTAGAAAAGATTGAAGTGCTTATATAAATGATGGATAAAAGAGCAAAAGAAAAAAAATCCAAACAAACACAAATTGCATTGTGCCTTATTTCATCAGAATTTTGTACACCAAAGGTTACATAAAGTGTGTGTGAAAAAAACTAACGTTATAATTAGCAGGCATGTGGGTGAATGAGTGTTCATACCGAATACTTGAAGTTTCTTGAGCCTCGCTTCGTTATAATTCTGAAGAGAACTTGAGCACTGCAAAAACTTTGAAAGCCAGTCTTTCATTTTGTGTTTTTGATTGGTCAGAATACCCACACGGAATATTTTTGTAGTGGATCCAACATTCTAGAGGCTTTTCTAACTGGAAAAATGAACTACATTTCAATTGCACATTGATGAATGCCAAAATGTTTTTTTTAACAAGAGAAATTTATTCTTACATAAGACTCTAAAAGTGCTGTAGACTTTGTATTCACAATAGTCACTTGTTTCAAACAGTACTACTACCTTTTGTAAATAACTAAATTATTTTAATGATTATTAGACTTTCCTTTTGCAGTACAGTGTACAAATGTTTTAAGAATATTGTGTGCAAATTAGAACCAATGAAATAAAATAAATGTATTTCACATTTGTAGAAATGATTGAGCACTTGTACTTATCATTGACCAAAAAAAAAATCACTTTTAATCCCTGTTGCAAGGAAGGAAACAAACAAAACCAAATAAGTTGATTCTTATAAAATTTATTAGTTTTATGCAAATAATATACAAGGACATTAAACAAAGAATTTGTACATCTTATCAAGAACATTTTCGGAGTTGTAAATATCAGAAATTTGCCACTTTACATTAAAATAATATTTTGGACTTGCAGTCAGCCAAAAAACAGTTACATTGTCACAGTCCAATAAAAAATTTTAAGAAAAAAAAATATTGACAGTAACTTACAATTTCGTGAACTAGATAAGCTTATGTTTTTGACGAGAATTGGAAGACATTCAAATTCAGCATCTTCACAATAAACGCTATTCGGCTTTTCCCCCACAAAATCCTTATAATCCTGTAGGGAATTCCTTGGGTGATGTTTTTTTTTCATATTTAAGCAAAAGATGAAGATTTTTTATTCAAAAACTTGGCCAATGCAATGTCATCAGCACTGTACTTTGGACATCTTGACAAAACATTTTGTGTGAAAAAAACGTTACAACTTTCAATGGTGAAACATCTGTCACTGGAAATTACAATAACATAAAGGTATTAAACACCCCCATTCACATCACATATTTGTTACAGAAAAGGAATAACATAGAAAGGATTTTATTCACCATATTATACATGGCTGGAAAACATTAAAATATTGGAATGTAAAGCTGTAATTAAAAAGAATTGCACTCTTTGTGAGTGAATACAGATTTCTTTTTGAGTAACTAATGCAGAAAAAAGAATGACTGTACAAAGTTTAAATGTTATAATATCAGTTACTGCATCCGCATCAATTGACTACAAATAATTGATTCTCGCAAGAAATGTTGACATTTGATAATGATAAAAACTGAAGAAAAAAAATCCAGAAAATAACTAGATTGTAATAATCTATTTCTACACATGATCATTTTATTTTTGTGCGGTAAACTGACTCAGTAGAAAGTGGTCTTGCAATCGCTGGATTACCATTGGTGTTGGTTCTGGTCAAAAAATGTATCAATTTATTATCCTTTTAAGAAGGAAAGTTATCTAAGTTTTCAATTCTGTTGAGATTCTGCAAATGCTCGAAAAATGGTTTTTAACATAAGACAAAAATACTTGAAGACCAACGGTAAGCTGTTTGGGATGGAGAGGCAAAATAGAGACATCTCCCAAACACCACACATAGCTGTAAGAATTGAGAAATGATATCATTGACTTCTGAACCTTCATTTTAGGTGAAGTTATTTTCAAATTGTTTTGTCTTTTTAATTGTTTTCTGTTCCTGATCCCTCCTCCGGTGTATCAAATTCATCCTCTTCTTCTTCCTCGTCTTCGTCCGTCTTCTTTGCTGTTTCCTCCCCCGTCGTCGTATCTTGGACGTCTGTTTCATCCCCTTGAAGCTCTTGGTCGTCCTCCTGATGTTGCTCTGGAGATGTCTCAGCCTCGACTCGGACAGGCTCATCTGCAAATGAGGAGAGATGATAGTCGTAAACTGAAAGAAGTGAGTTCTCAAACATTGTCAGAAAAGGAGCAATGCAATTGCAAAATATACGGCATGAGACAATTCCATAATAAGCAATGAAAATGCACATTACAGGCAGAGTAGACTATTTGCAGCTATCCAAAAAGTATCTGACAAGATATTGTTGGAAAGGTTACTTGGTTTAAAGATAGTAATGGCACTAAACTCCCTGTGAAATTATTCTTTCTGGCATGCTGTCATTTTGAAGAGAACAATAAAAGGTCATTTCCAGAGCGACACATTTTTGGAAGTTTCAGATAGTAGTTGGTTTGTAATGCAGCGAATTCAGGAAAGGGTGCATGCAAACTTTCCCACGACGCACACACGTGCCCATGGTTGCTATTATTCATTGGTTCAAAGCATGACATTGCGTAGTTGCAATCGGTGGAGTGAGAATGCGTCCTGGATGCTTACTTCAGGCGCAATTAAAAACATGACTCCGCAACTTTTGAATTGAAATCGAGATCCTACAATATTGTATTGAGTTTAAACTTCATCAGGTTAGTTGTTAAGCACCCTTCCTCAGATTTTGAGCTCTTTTGTTGCTTCAGACGAAAAAAACCCGCACAAATAACAAATGATCTACCCTACCTTTAAACATAATGGGCTTGAACAGAAACATTCAGAGCAGTGTTTTTATCAGGACTTTTTCCAGACCTTTTTTTGAGAAATCTATTTCTCAAACCTGAAATTGAATAAAAAGTCATAACTGTTTTCCTTGTTGCCTGCAAAATGCAACATGATTTCAGTTTGCCGACGTCTACAAATGGACGTTGACTTTTCCCGCGATGCACTGCAGGCAAAGCACGATTTGTGCCACCAGGGCAGCAGCATTTCTGTATCTGAATGACTCGTTTCAAAAACTCAGCTGGAATAAATAAACAGAATAATGAACCTGTTTTTGAGTTGTCTTGACTCGGTGTCTCGTCTCCCACTTTTTCATCTCTCTCGCTTTCTTCGTCAATCACGTCCATAATCTCAACCTCATCATCATCATCATCATCATCATCATCATCATCATCATCATCATCCCCGTCGTCAATGTCTGCCTCCTCCCCATCCTTGGTTGCCGTGTCGTCGCTAGGTGGGGCACCTAGGAAGTCGTCCAGTGCCTCCTGATCCTGGTCGTCGACGGCAATCTCAAAATTCTCAATGGAGCTGGCGTCGGTGGATGATTGGGGCCCGTCAGATGACACTACACCTGAAATGGGTTAGGAGGGGAAAAAATGGATCTTTAGACCAAAATAACCTTTATGTACTCCAAAATAAATTAATGATATTACAACTAATTAATGAAATGTGATTGGGAGGTTATTGAAATGCAACTTTTGGCAGTTCGTCACAATATCTAGAAAAACGGCAGAGTGCACCACTTGCTTGAAATATCTAGGAAACTTTAACTAGCAATCAGGCCATGGCTAAAAGAATTGACCTATCACGGTAGAATCATGTCAAGGCAGCTTGTGAAATATCGGCCAATAAACATGATATACAAACGGACGTGGAACGCGCAACATCTGAGACAAACACAACTCAGCGTACACAAAATACATAGGGTTGTCTAAGGGGCGTGGCTAACTCGCAAACTTTGATAGGTCAATTGTACCAAAAAGCATTATTTTTTTATTAGCAAACATTTTCCCGGAAAATTAAGACTGTTTGTACCGAAGATCAAACTGATCTGGCAAAAAAAAAGTAAAATCCAGTTGAAGTTGATACATGAAGAATGCCAAATTTGTTCACTTTATAACTCGGAATTCGCAAACATTTAAATTTTTTTTTAACTAAACACTTCCAGTTTCATGGTAAAATATCCAGCCGTAACCTTCCGCTGTCAACTAAACATTGTATGGTTGAAAACATAACCCTCCACTCAACACCATTTTCCACTATTTTCTTACTACTAGCACTTACGTTGCATTTCCCCATGCACCTTGTAGTGCTGCATGTCAGCCACAAACACATCTTGAAACGCTTTCTGTCTCTCAATCTTGTCGGCTTTCTGTGATTCTTCCTTGAGACGTACGCTCAGATCATACTCCTCCTTCATTCGCACTAAAATGTCGAGGGTAAGAAAAAATATTGGCCATGTCCAAATCAGAAAAAAGTCACTATAATAAGTGAGTCTTGGTCCCAGACTAGATTTGCATTTTATTCCTCTAATACAGATGGTCCCTGGCAGGCATTGTCAAGGCACAATGGCATTTCTTGGGAAGTTTGGCAACACTACCCAGGAAATTCAATGAGATATGCAAGGAATTTCTGGGTTTTGTTTATACGTACCTCTCATTTGCCCTTCTTCTTTGCTAGAAAAGAAAGCAGAAACAAAATGAAATTACATACCTGGAGTATCCCACACACAAAAAACACTCCAAATTCCCCATTTTGTGAGACTAAACAAAAATTTTTTCAAATATTAAATCTCAGAGTGCCCTTCTGACACAACGTCCCTTTTCTGTAAGACGATTGGATTCATTTGTGTACCATAATGGAAAAAAGGGATTTAGTTTTCATGCTTTGAACTAATCTAAAGAAAAAACTGCTACACAACTGAAGGCCCATAGAGTACCGAAGTGCTCTGCGTATTCTGTTCCATAATCCACGCGCACAGCTTACGTGTGTGAAGACATCAGCATGCGAACCAGAGTGAACCAGAACAATGACAGCTGACGTCACACAACAGTACTCTATTGTGTCCAGTCGCTGAAATGTTGGGATACCAACCGAATACAATGCAACACTTACTGTTTTTGCTGCGTGTACCTATTCAGCTCTGCAGTCTGTGTGTGCTTGTCGCGGAGAAACTCACAGTGATCTATCAAGTCTTCATACCCCAGCATCATGGATTCTACCTCCTCAAACTCTGCTTCCAGTTTACCTGAAGAGTTTTTAAGAAGACAGTACCAACTGGAATTTTAGTAGCACTGAGTAAATCTTTTGTTGTGAGGGACTGTGAAGAAGATAATCCACTGTGCGTCAGTCGTTTGCAGCGCTATGAGCAATATATTTGATATTGTATATTGGAACCAGGGTGGCATGGGTGGCTTGTGCGTAAAGCGCTCGCCTCTCACCAAGGTGACCACGGTTCGAATCCTGGCCGCGGATCGCATGTGAGTAGAGTTGTGCATTGGTTCTCTCCTGTGCCACGAGGGTTTTTCTCCGGGCCCTCCGGTTTTCCTCCCTTCGGAAAAATCAAACACTTTCGATCTCAGGCTGTGCTCCGTGGTCATATATGGGTCAATGTGGCCGGCAGCCATAGGCGCCTTTACGTGCCAGCGGCCCGACCACGTTGTAGCCGCGTCCTTCGCAATTCAGCATACCAGTTGCGAGTAAGGATGATTAGCCTCCCAAATTATTATTATTATTATTATTAGAAATCGGGCCAATGCAAAGTCAATGCAAAGTCAATCACAAGTCAATCACAAGTCAATCACAAGTCATCACAAGTCATCACAAGTCCATCACAAGTCATCACAAGTCCAGCAAAAGTCATCACCAGTCATCACAAGTCATCACAAGTCCATCACAAGTCAATCACAAGTCAATCTCAAGTCTATCACAAGTCATTGCAAGTCAATCACAAGTCATCACAAGTCAACCACAAGTCAATCACAAGTCATCTAGAATTTTAATCTGTAACACCTCCCGGTCTACGTACAAACCAACTTTCAACCCAATCGGACATGTAGTTCTGTAAATACAGGCCTTCAAAATATCATGCCTACGAAATGTGCATCTTTACTGTAACGTCACGTGACACATGACGACGTCATGATGACATCATTCTTCGGCACACATCTGCAGGTTCTGGGCCCAATTTCACGGCGCTGCTTAACAGTTAGCAGAAAAGTTGTGTTTAGCATAGCAGAAAAATTTGCTAACCTTAAACACTATTTCACGGCGTGTGCGTGCTAACGGTCGCGCGTGCATGGAGATTTCTATTGTTACGTCACTAAGTTAAGCAAATTTTTCCTCTGAAGTAAGTGTGCCTTTTGCTGTGCTTATGCTTACGGTCTCCATGAAATAGACGGAGGCACTGTTAGCAGAAAATTGTGTGCTTAGCAGTGCCGTGAAATTGGGCCCTGGTCTATGTGTATGCCAAGTATGAAGGCAATCAGATTGATGTCAGTGCCCGAAGTGCGGGGCACGATGAAAACGTGTACAAATGCTATGGACAAAGGGCTGGGGGGAAAAAAATATTCTTTAGAAAAACAAAGGCTGATAGTTGCCGAAACAGCCAATAAAAAGAAGTTCATTTGTGACTTGCTTACCAATGGCTGCTGTAAGAAACTGGATGTTTTCCACGAAGCGTGGGAGGTCGACCAACTGCTTCTGCAACTGAACTAAGGGTTCTGCCCGACGCTCATAATTCAGAAACACCTCCTGTACGTTTCTGTCCACAACCTGAAAAAAAAAGTAAAATGTAAAACATTCTCATTGGTAAGTTGCAAGCACTGCTTGTTTTTGCTCATATTGAATGCAAACGTTAACTGGAAAGCATAGTTTACTTGACTGAAACATAGATTGACATACCATGCCCTTTTCCGCTGCAGCTTCTATTTCTTTATGCAGCTCACTCCACATCTGCTGAAATCTGTTGACAAAAGAAAAACAAAGTGAACAGAAGTCAAAATATACTATACAAGTAAGGGCAAAATTTAAGTGACAATCCGTGACCATGCCCCGACATACATACGTGGGGCGCACTAGTGATTGCCTTTCCATGGAGTACACCAATGGTAACAATGTAATTTGAGTGACCAAAATTCCTACCCTGGGGCATGAAAAACGTGACTAAATCCCGACATCAGACCTGGGGCAGTGCAGGGGGGGGGGGATTTGATAGCCGCATATAAATTGCTCCGTTTCGTCTGAAGTAGGATCAGGGAACCAGACTTGGTTTTGCCAGCATCTATGAACACAAAACTTTTAACGGGTCAGTTCTACAGTATTGGCTGCAAAATACTCAACCCCCCCCCATCCATCCATTTCTGAAAAAAATTACAGCAAAAGTAAATGTTGTATATTACCTTTAAACATAACATGAAATTTTATAACTGAGCCAGTTACAAACTTTAATCTTACCGATCCAAAAGTTCTGCGCCAGCATCGTTGTTGCTCTGTGCAGGACTTTGGGGACTAGGAAGGATTGAAAAAAAAACCCTGATTGGAGCCAAACTTTCTTCTTTTTGTAGAATTCTCCAGTGAATATTTACAATGTCTTACAATGTTGTCCAGGTGCTAATAAGTTGACTTCCTCCACCGTTACGGACAAGATCCCCCTAGTCTTAACTTTGTATATAAAGCCACTGATTCCACGAAAAGAAAATACTGGTGGACGGAGAAACTACTAAAATGAAGAGACAACTGGAGGCAGTATAGCTTAATATCTTCCCTCATACTGCTGGAGGTCTTCACCAGAACAGTTCTTCCCTCCTTCGTACAATTTATCACAGTTCAGGCCCAAAACAAAACCAAACAGATTTCTTCTTTTTTTCCCGTTTCTTGTTCTTGTTGCTGTTCCTTGAGTCACATTTGGTCTTGTGGTTGGAGAATTTCAAAATAAAATGTAGGATTGGCAGACGACGGACAAACGGTGAGATACTCACATGTCTTGCCTCGATGCTGCTGTCTCTTCTCTGCTTGTTTGATGAAAACATTGAGAAAAAAAAGTGTCACTCAGAATGAAATGTTTTAAATAAATCATTCCCCTATTCTTGGACTTGCAGTTAACATTCAAGACCGATAAAAATGGATTATTAATTAAGCGCTGTTCAAAGAAATTTAAGGGTGAAAAAATACATGAATGTGCATTTAAAGCCTTTATTTACTCGGGTCATTATCAGTGTCCAGACTCCAAACTGGACTTAAACATAATGTTTAATACAGGCCAAGCACATGTTTATTCCAATTCATAAATGCGTTTTTGGTCAAACAGTCAAAACAAGTAAAATATTACAAGTTATCAACGATTTTGAACGTTCAACAAGTTTACTTCATGTTTTTTTAAACACCCCTCTAGCTGTGTTATGGTATGTGCCTCTCGCGAGTAGTCGTAAACAACTCCTTATATGGAGATTGGCGCGCGAGTTGCTGGTACTGCGCGATGTGTAGAATGCAGCTTTTTGTGCTGGTGTAGCGTGAATTTAGGACCTCGAAATACAGACTCATTGGTAGTATTGCGCATGCCTAAGTGAGGATTGTGAACGGTCAACCAATAAAAGGGTAAAAGGGACTGGATTTCACAGGAGTCCAAATTTCATGTGACACTGAAAAAGTGTTTAAGACCAGCCAGCCGGTGTTTTATCAACCGTTTAAGACCAGCCACGTGACCGGCTCTCGACCAATAGGAATGGGTAAACTGTCTAAGTTATTTATGATTTCATTTTTATAATCTGTAATCTTCAACTGATATTGGGTTACTCGGACAAAAGTGCAATTGTTAAAATACTGTATAGTACAATGGGTCTAATCCTCCAAAATCTCCCACTATGCAGGACGCCGACTGAATCTTTCCTTCTCGATCCTGGGCTCTACCTTCCTCAATCCAACAAAATCCTCAGAAAGCTCCTGGAGGATGTTAAGGTATCTGGGACACTAGGATTAACGAGATCTCTCCAGGACTCTCTTATTACACATAATCTCATCATCAAATGCTTCACACTGATCATTTACCTGCGAGATCGCTTGACTTCTTTTGCTTTTGTGCTAAGAGTCTTCAGTCTGAAAAAAAAATTAAAATAATAATTCACCAGCTGGCTGAAAAATATACAATCCAATTAATTAACACTATATAGATATACCCCCTTGATTTTACAAATTTGTCAGGAAATGGAAAAAATTCCGTACTGGCTCACCACTTTTTTCAATTAATTTTCAAGCGCCAAAAGTTGAATCCTTTATGGTTATTCCCTCCACTTTCCCTCCTCTACTCTCACCCTCTCCTTTCCTTTATTCCTATTTATTAATCAGTCACTTACTTCATCGAGATTCAAACCTAGGACTCTTGCTTGAAACACGAGACTTCTAACCGCTAGGTTGGCACGATCGCTGTTGCAATGATCAATCTTTGGACGTATTTAAGGTATCCATTGAAATAAACTAAATATCATGGGAAAATAAATATTCATAATGACGTACTGCACTATCATTGGCCAGCTCATGCGTTGTCATGGTTGTCGATGTCATGCCTATAACGTACCGCTGTCTTCCAGACACTTCAATCAGTTTTGACCGGCTGCTTCAACTTAGTTCTGCACGACGTGTGCGTCCAAAATGTGATCTAAAAACACATTTTGCCTAATTTTGTTTCGCGTTTCCAGAGCTTCCTGGATTCCTCTTGGGTGAAATCACAAGGTGGGGTGAAAATTGGCGGCAGGTAAAGTGGTGAGCCAGTATGGAATTTTTCCCCAGGAAATTAACCCTCCTGCTATCTAAACAGCCACAGACAGTCAAAATGTCCATCCACTTCCCCTGCTATACTTTTAACACAGGCTAGTCACCAGCAGTTAGATCATTATGTCAAGCAAGCACTGTGACTAGTCAAACTCAGTCAACAGACCATGAACAGACAAAGCAGGCAAGTTGTGGACACAGCTGGCTTATCAATTGCCCACAGCCAAAGCAAAGCTGTGTCGATTTACATAAGCAGTCACGGCCAGTCAATCCTCAGCTTTATGTAGGCTGTGAATTCTTAACTGTTGAAAGCAGTAACTTGATTGATTTTGACTGAAAGTACTACTTGGCAAAGAGCGTATGTTTGAATAGGAGGGTTGAAATAAAAATGACCCTTGAACATGATTTTTATTAGCAGAGTAAGGCAGTGTCGGGAAATAACTGATTCTGGCTGGGAAAAAATCAACTTATAATCCACTGGTCTTGAAGCTTAAGAAATCTACTAGATCAAAAATATTTTACTTTGTTCAAAATACTATTAAATTAACATAAAAATGGCCCCATGTTGCATTTTGGCATAAGTACGACCACAGAAAAACAAAGAAACCTCACCCTGTGGACAAGTCTTGCTGGACATGATGCAACCGTTCCCTGAACTGGTCAAACATGGCCGTGGGTCAGTGGGTCAGTTTCCCCAGGCTGGTGAATGGAGATCAGCCGCAACCAACAGACACCGAATACAACCTGTGCACATAGATTAACCATAGTAACATTATATAACCACAGTAACCTCAGCATTGTTTTAGAAAAATTCACAAGCTCAGTATTTTGTGTGAACTTGTATTACTTTTCATCAGGAAAGGGGCGGGGTTTCCCCCTCGCCAAATTTCTCCCTCAACTTTAATTTAAGTAAGACTAAGAGGAAGATTCCTTTAGGATTTAAAAGACAGTATAGGTACGAAGAGTAAAACTTATTCAAGTTTGCAATAAATAATGCTAATACATAATTACAAAGCAACACAGGTAAGTAAAATGAGGCTTTTCTTACGGAGATCTATTGATCTCGCAAACATCAAACCCGAGATAAGTGCTACCAGTGTATTATTGTTACCAGTCCATTGTTGAGGTACACGGCTTTTTGGTCCAAAGAACACAAGGAGCCAGACTTATCAGACACAAGAGGGCGCACTCGAGAGTTTTGCTCAGTGGCCAATTCATCATGCGTTTATAATTTGCTTCACCACAGAGCTGCTTAAGCACAACTTTCGTTTAAGCCCCCCAACAACTTTGCTTAGTATGATCAGGTTACCGGCAGGCACGGTTGGGGGGGGGGGGGGGGGGGGGGGGGGGGGGGGGGGGGGGGGGGGGGGTGGGGAATGCTGGGGAGGGGGCGAATTTAGCGAATGTTAGAAGGTGACGTCACATGCGAACGACGGTCAACCCCAACCCAACCCCCCCCCCCCCCCCCCCCCCAAAAAAAAACGCTATATGAGCCGCCGGTTCGGTACTAGTCTGTGTATGGTCTATTACATTTTGAGCAGATTCGCTGATTAATTATGCAAAACAACCGCATCTTGACCTCTACATTTTGACCAATCAGAGGGCGCTTTCTATGGGGTCTCGGTCATTCACCAGTTGTCGCGTCATTAGACATGGATTAAAAAAACCTGTGTCACGCGCTCTGTATCATGTTACGCGATATGCCCCCTGCTGTTGCATTCGAATTTACCAATCAAACCAGTAGTCCTGATTTGGGAAGAAATGACGCAACGATTTTAGTAAAGTTATGTGTACACACGTTATGTATGTGTACAGGCATGTTATATGTTATAAGCTACGGCTTTTGTTAGCATGCCTCCATCAGTATAATTTTTCATTATTTTGTGTCATAATCAAATGTTGTGAAAAGATGGAAATGAATGTTCTTGAAATTGAAATTGAAATTGAAAGTCGACTCCGATTAGCTGGCCGCGCAGCTTGCATATAATATCTGGATGTTTAGACGTATCAGACGCTATACAGAAGACTTGGCTCCGTGGATAACGGGTGATACTCAGACTAGTTCGTTATAATGTGTCACCACAATTTTCAAACCTACATGAAACCCCCAAAGCACGTTTTCTCCGAAATTTTCTATAAAAGAAAATGCCTAAAATATTGATGCTATTCGCATCTTACCATGATCGGTAAAAGATTCTGCATACGATTCAACTGCCATTATTCCAAAAGTGAGCTTTGCCTTTTGTCATTTTAAGAACAGTGCCAAGATTTAAGTATGTTTTACAATATTTTTTTTTATTATTAATTTGTAGTATTGTTTTCGGTTGATCCCACTGAAACTAGTTAATGGTGAGATATGACGTTGACTACGGACAATTATTGTTTTCACTCAATGGACTAGTCCGATATCGGTTTTGTCGAAAACAAATAATGGTATAGGCCTACACACGAAGGAAATTCATAGCATAGCAGCAATTTCGGGAATGTTCTTCACGAACAACCCAATTTGACATATCGTACTTGGGTATACCGCCAGGTACGGGTGACAATACGCCTTTGAAGTGTGACGTGACCCGGGGTTGTCTCCAATAGTGATCGTTCCACACATTGTCTCGTCCGTCATATTTACCATACATTTGTATGGTCGATTTTATTTTTCCATGCAGTGAGCACATTTTCTAGTTGAAATGACTAAACTGGGACAATGCTTCGACGGAAGCGAACAAGCTTTCGAGTCAACTCGTACCTTGGGCAACTCGTACATTGGACAACTCGTACCTCGGACAACTCGCACCTTGGACATCTCGTACCTTGGTCAACTCGTACCTTCAGTTTAGAAATTTGCTTCGACTATGTACACGAAGTACTTGAGCTGCAAGCGTAATTTTTATTCCTAGGAGGGTTAGGGGCAATGTCATGAATAATTAAGTTTTTCCTTTGAATCATTGCAAGACTAAGGTTCTCGTTCTATTTTCCCCTTAATTTAAAATTATCTCAGTGATAGATTTGGAGAAGAAAAATAGCTGATGAAAATGAGCAGCGACGACGTGGATTCGAACCAGGGATCTTTGTATCCATAGCTCATCTCGCTATCCACTAGGCTACTGTGTGGTAGCTCGACGACAACCGTTCTTTAAAATGCTTTAATGTATTGTAACTAGTTGAGTAACTAACAACAATGCTGTTGATGTCATTGTCCGTTCTCATGGATAAACATGAATTATTCATGACATTGCCCCTAACCCTCTTAGGAATAAAAATTACGCGAGCTGCAACGCTGTGTCATGCATGTTTGTCAGCAAATACTTGATTGTGGTGATCGAAGTTGACAAAGGTCTCGTGCTTATCTACCCCGCCGAGGACCGTACCGATGCAAGCTGGAATTGGCACCACGTAACTTATTTAGTGTTTTTCCAACATGGACCTGTTCTCACTCTTTGTTTCGTTGCTCCCCCTACTCGTATATATCCTCGCTAGGTATGCCTCCCCTCGCCCCTCCCCTGGGGAACCACCGAGGAGTCTTTGGTTCCCCGTCAAATATCTCTGGCTCCGCTGGGTTCTGTTTTGGTCCAGACGGAGGTACCTGCACCTGCACCGGCGAGTGACGAGTCACGATAGGATGGTGGCCAAGGCAAGAGAGATAAGCCGGCTGGAGTACGGCGGCACGACGGTAGGCCGTCAGCCACGGGTAAGTCAGGCTACGCGGTGATTAGGCCAAAAAAAAAAATATTCGGTCTCTGGTCAGACCAAAGTTCCGGAATTGACGCGGCCACGCGGCTTTTTTTTTTTTTTTCCTATTTTTTTTTTCTTCAGCTTGGTGGGTACAAGGTGGGTACAATTTTGCTTTTTTGGTGTCCTCATGTACATTGGTGGCCTCCATAATTTGCCTTGGTTCTTTCGATCATTTGCCTTGGTGCAATTTCCCATTCCTTGGTGCTCTTTGGTAAAAAAAATTGAGGAGGTGCGGAAATAGAGGGCGCTGGTGGAGCTACCGCGGAACATTTTGGAAAAAAAAAGATCGACGCGCATGCTTAAAATCGACGCGCGCGCTGACCAGAGACCGACTTATTTTTTTTTTGGCCTTAGATTGAAACACTTGACGACCAAAGCAGAGGCCTAACTAAGAGGTGGAGAGGGACACGCCCCCTGGCTAGGCATTTGTGACCTCTGTCCCCTTATCCGTAATTGAGAGAAAAGAGAGTTTTTAAAGTAACTGTTTGAAAGTGTGATCAAACTGAAACCTTGAGTGACAAGCAGGGCATAATACGTTCGTCCTATACAGGTAGGAGCAGAAATGGGTTTTATTCAGATAGTGGTTCAGATTTTATTCGAAGAGATAAATATCGTTTACTTCTGGCCCTAAAGAAATCTCCACCCATCTATGAAAAAAAATGGTAGGCATACCATACTGAACATTTTAAAATATAAAATACCGGCACGGGCGTCGCCAGGCTTTTTTTTCTAGGGGAGGGGGGCAAAGTATATAATTATTTCCCCAAATCCTTGTACTTTATTCTCAATTTATCTATTCTCATTTTTCGATTGTAGGCGGCGGACTTTTATCCAACCCACCCCCATTGACACCCCTGCAGACGCCCATTTTGTTAAATGTGTATTAAATTAATAGCAAATATGACTTCACACCTCTTTCTTTTTCCTTCCTGCTTTTTTGGGTTGCTTTCCGGGGGGAGGGGGGGGGGGGCCTTGCCCCATCCTGCCGACGCCCATGTTATACCGGGATACAGTTCGAAAACATGCATTGCACAATCTTGGTAGTGAAGTCTCGCTGTCGAAATCAACATTTTTAGGGTTGCGAAAAAATTCCTTTTCAGGATTACACATCGCTGTACATCAACGGTTCAGATGCGACCGGCAATCACTGCCTCGTAGTCCGTGTGACTCTCCGGTCCGATGACCGACGGGAGGTATGCTTCCTCCTCCGTGTCCCTGAGGTAGGGGACCTGGTCCTACCCAGACACCCGGCCTGTCTGATGGAGGGCCGTGTCAACGGGGATGAGTTTACCGGGGAGGGACTCAAGTGTACGGTGCTGGAACCACTGAGGACTTGGAGGATCAGTTATAATGGGCTGTGCCGGTAATTATTTTGAATTTTCTCTGGTTATCAGTGACGTATGCGTAATTGGGGTCAAACTTTCAGGAAGAAGGGGCCCCATTTTCATTTTTAAAAGGGTTGAGGGCGGAGTACAGACAGAGCACGGGGGGGGGGAGGTGTCAAGCTGCCCCGTTTTGCCCCCCCCCCCCGCTCAGAAATTGGGAAGAAAAAATAACCTGTTGTTAAAAACCCACTCCACTGTGGAGTGGAAAAGAAAATTGGAACCTAATATAAGTCCCCTGCAAATTGGACCTCGATCGGTTACACCACTGTTGAGCAAGTCCGTCGACATCTTTTTTTTCGGCTTCCTGAGATTTTCCGAGCAAGTTGACTTCTGCCCATGCACTATGTGATCATGCATGATGTGACAAAAGCATACTAATGCCAGACATTGTACACGTTGTGTGCCACGTGACTGTATGCGATAAAAGCTGTGTTGAATCTTGATTCATTCAGATTTCACATCGACTTTGCCGTGCCATGCTATAGGACGCTTGACACTTGATTGCACTCTCCGATAACTGTGAACTGACTGGAGGGCCAACGAACATTATAAAGTTTACTCGGTCGCCATCGGGTCCAAAAATCAAGGTCGTCTGCACTTTGTACAGCAGGGATATTATACAAATATTGAGTGACTCAGAGTACATGGAATGCAATGGCAAGAATATCATCGCAAGGTGAAATCTTGACTTTTATAGAGTGCAAATGGAAAAGTCTAGATTTTACCGGGCGATAATATTCTTCCCATTTCACATTTTAAAGCCACTCAATTTTGGTTTATATAACTGACATATAGATCCTTGGCATTTGATTCACAGTAAAAATGAACTTTATTTCAATACAAAATTGTTTTGACTAGCATTTTGCTAGCGGGCTGCCGCTAAAGTCGAACCCTTATTATGTCTTGGCAAGTTATGGTGCGCATTTACAGTATGCCAATCATAATTATCAACGCACACTATACTGCAGCTCAATATCCTTTGAAAATAATAACTTCCTCTAATGCATTGATGAATTGTAAATCAGTCAGGGTTTGTAGGACTATTTTTTTAAGCATTTGAGATGTTTTTTTTTAATTCTCAGTGTCGGAATTAGGAGATCAGATGGTGAACTTGACGACCGGCCACTGGTACATGTGCGGTGTACGCTTCTGTGAGTATTTCTTGGCAGATATGCTTCCCGTAATGTATACATATTCGTTAATATTCGAATTTGTTTCTTATCAGAAGTCATTTTTATCGATTGAGACGTATTCGTTTTCTGTAAAAATATTATTACATTTTGAAGGCCAAGGGGGGGGGGGGGTTGCTGTGGACGAGCGGGACGTATCATTCATCACAGTTGTGCCCTCTTTTGGGGGGAATAAACCTCTTATACTTTTGCCCGATTCATCATATTTCCTTGGCAGTTGGAGTGCCTTCACGTCCTACTTTGACTTCACGACCGACGTCAACCCCCGCTTGGCCGCTGAGAATCTTGCTAAAAGAATGAGGAACGGGGAGGTACTGGACAATCTCGATGAGTAAGTATCTGGATCAGAAACACCAGAGTGTGAAATTAGAACGAAAATATTTTCTACATGGCGCATTAGAGTCAACACTTGCATCTTAAAAGTCTTGCGGGTCATTCGACCCAAATCCGGGTCAGATGTTGACCTGACACTTTGGCGGGTCAAAACGACACCTTTCCGAGGCCTTTTTCCGGGCGATTGGCCCGGTGCAGTGTATATTTGACACAAAAAATAATATTAAGTCATTTTGACCAAGGAAAGTGTCCTTTTTAGACGAAAAGTTGTCAATTTGACCCCAAAGTGGGTGTCGGGTAAAATCTGACACGGATTCCGAGACCGTATCTGAGTCGGTGTCATATGAAAATCCGACTCCTTCTCCCTATTATATTGGTTAATCCCTCGCACGTGACCAGTCACTTTCCTAATTATGATACTTACGCATGCGCAATACTACCAACGAGTTCATTTCATGGAGTCGGATATTCACGCTACACCTGGACTTTTTAGGGTAAAGAATCACGTCAGGAGGATCATTCTTAGCACCGATCGAATCACTGATTCAAGTTAAGCATTTACATTTAGTATAAATTGTGTGTACCTGATGTCATCATCATTTTCAATTAACCAACTGAACTTTGGATTATTTTTTTTGCCGGATTATGTTTATTTTGTGAACAGGGCTAACAGGCAGAGTCATCATTATGAGCAGTTTGGTATGATCCATGGCGTGGTACAGGTCAAGGGTCAGGAGGAGAAGACAATAGTCATGCGTGGTGTGAAATCGCATTCATCCGGGATGCGGGGACAGTGGGAAAGGGCGGAAAGCCACATCATCAACTACATGGTGTTAGAGGTAAGTCCAAGCATCAACTACACGGCACAAAGTCATGGACAGAGCAAGATCTTTAATGCATGTGGACAGAATTTTCCGACGAAAAGGTATGGAAGCTAAAAAGTTTACAACCTTTTTCTGGCAAGTGTGTTTCTCATGCTAACCCGAACATATATTAAAGCATGCAGATGGTGACATTTTTTTTTATTTTAGAACGTGTACGGTTAATTTGTTCACTGTAGAAATGACTGCTTTGCACGTTGACGGTAAAGGCGTATAACCTGTTTTCAAAAAGCAAGAGTTTTCGTGTCCATCAAATGGCTTTGCATTACAGCACATGACACAGACTACACACCACGCCCTCTGGAACATTCGCAAGATATAGTTTGTACCCGATCGTTCAGTTTGCAACTAAATATAATTCCTTCTTTTTTAATGTTTGGCCATGGACAGGATGGGACTTGCTTGCATGTCGGTGCGTACTGCGAACAGGATTCGAGGTTAGCAGTTCCTTCATTTTATGTGGAAAATATACTTGCCTTAAATTTAGCAATATATACTTTATTTGGGGTTAGGGTCATCGTTATATAGGCCTATGCACGCCCTATCGATTTCTAGATGTAACCCACAACATATTATCTGAATTCTTTTGAAGACCTTTTTTTTTACAGTAAATAAACCTGACTTGAAACTGACTTTGTCGAAACGTCATAAACAGTTATCACTACTACAGGTATTAGGCCAAGAAAAAAAGTCTCCCTTTTCGGTTTTTTTCTTCTTCAAATGTCGGCTGATGACTGCAAATGGTGCCCGACTAAACTAAGTGCAAATATATGAGTGTCCAGAGAGGCCACATAAAGCTTATTCTCGATCGTAACCCCATTTAAAAACACGTTAAAATTGTGCAGCAGCAGGATTCCAGTCAAACCAGTGAGTTTGGCGGTGAGACATCATCTTTGAAAACAAAAACTTTTTTCATTTTGTCAACACGCATGGCTACTATACGGCGACGCGCGTGCATACCAGAAACCGGAGACTTTTTTGGCCTAAGTGGGCTGAGTTCGAATGGATATACAGGGCGAGTAACAAAAAAACCGGAACCCCAAAACAAAGAAATATATTTCATTTAGAAAAAAATATGTGGCACCAAAATTAATTATATCTCTTGACCATTTTCTCACAGTACTTTCTCGGGCTATATGACCAAGCCCAACGGGGCAATATTTCCTGCAGTGTCCGTGGATCTGCCCGTACGAAAACATTTGCAAAATAATAACCAACCACCTAAGATGTTCTCGTTTAGCGTGCAGTTCGAGAGTAAGTTGTATTTTTTTTAAAAATCTGTGCTCAACATTCTGTCACGTATAAATTATTTATTAGTGTATTTTATAAAATATTTTTAAAATGAAAATATTCGTCTCTTAAATAATAGCATTATGTTTCTTCATAAGGTTTTGGTAAAAATAAAACATGAAATTAAACATATAAACTCAAATGGAAAAATGGTAATTCTGTTTTTACTTTTGGCTTCAAACGTTTAGGCGCATTTAGTATATAGAATCGTGCCGTTGTGTGTCAAGTTCAATTAATGATCGATTTTGTTTTTAAATACCGTTAGGTCCTTCATATAATCAGTCTACAAACAAGAGACGTTATTGTTTGTAGCAGAGCATGCATGTAATGATACTATTTATGGATGGCGGGAAATGGGGTCAAAGGGTCATAATGCCAAAGAGAAAAGGAATCTCGTGAATAATATTTCACCAAAAGATACTAAATGATGTTGCAAAGACCAGTAATGATACTAGACCAAAACTGTCAGACCAAATACTAGACCAAAACTGTCAGAAAAAAATCATAATCATTCTTTTCTTTTCCTCATGTACTCAGCTATCCAAACTTCAGTGGACGTTTAAATTAAGTTTATGTTAATATTCTTATGTTTCCATAGTTATTTTGAAAGTGCAGAAGAGTGTAGGTCCCTATGGAGGGGACACTTATAGGGACCTCATTTACTGGAAGGGGAACTTTATGAGTTTTTAACAATAGGGGACTAATTTTTGCATTTCACCAAATTCTAAGGGAGGCAAGGGCGGATCCAGAACTCAATTTTGGGGGGGGGGGGCCAAAAAAAAATTTGGTCCCCCTCAAAAAAGTGGGTCTCAAAAATTACGGCGTGGGGTTCGGGGCCCGTGAGGGCCCCGAAAATTTTTTGGATTCTAGATGCTCTGTGGTGCGATCTGAGGCAATTTCTGACCACTTTAACCAATTTTTTTTGAGGAAAAGATGGTGGTGTACTCATTGCCTGCCTTTATTGCGATGTCACATAAAAAAAATAAATAATTGGTTTCGTTTTTTTGGGGGGGGGCCATGGCCCCCTTTGGCCCCCCCTGGATCCGCCCTTGAAGGGAGGGGAGGGATACCCCCTACCCAGTTTCGTCAATGGTAGAATTTGATGTGTTTCAAGTTTGATGTCTTCTCTCAATAAAAGACGCAGGTGACGTATTTAACCCAACCCTTTATTTCGTTTATGCATTCTTTTAAAGACAACTTTACTGTTGAGATACAAGCCGAGGTAGGGGAGAGAATTCACCTCGAAGTGGACAGAGAGAAGAGAGTCCGTGTATGTGAGGCTCTGACCAGCTACCGGGCTAACGGCGTACATGGGCGGGGAGTCTGCCAGACGATGATCAGGTACTCATAATAGGGGACCTAACGAGGTTATCGCGGGCTTGGTATGCAGCAGGAGAGGGTATGAAGAAGTGTTGGAAAGACACCCCCCCCCCCGGAAAATCATCTCTACAGAAAATGTAACACACAAGACTTACATAAACTCGACGATGATCAGTATTGTAACGAGAGTCCAATATCAAGTGCAGGGGACGGAGGGGGAGGGGGTCCTCATTTCTTTAAAAAGGTACTCAATTGGGTAAATTGTTTCAAACAATATACACGACGTCTCTTTTCTTTTTCACCTGGGAATTCTTTGCCGCGTTTTCAAACGAGGGCACCTGTCGCTCCGAATTACAGAGATGATTGTGTTTCGTTTTGATAAACCCAAAACGTTTATTTTGTTCCAAATTGAAAACTTGAGCGAAGATTAAACGATGTCAAGTCACCTATTTCATTGACAGGTCGGACGAACACTGCTACGCCGTGTCGGACCAAAACACGTTCAAAATCTACAAAGAACCAGGTTGGTATAAGCGAAATTTGAAGCTTTTCTTAGCATTTTGTCTCGGAAAAAAAGGACACCATCGATTATTTATCATGTGCAATTTGTTTTATTGTGTTTTATGATTTAGTTTCGTGATTTCTTTTTTGATCGCATCGTCTGATTTTATTTCATTTAGAGAACCTTTCTGAAGCTGATCTGGCTGCCTGGGTTCTGCCGTTGGTGGCGCCCTCTTGTCGTGTTTCCTCGTTAACTGGAGGCAAGGGATCACAACTGGCCATGTTGATTGAACTCAAGAAACACAGAGAGGTCGAGGTGGGAAAGCATTTTATTCTATTAAAAGGTCGAAACATATTTTTGAAGTTTGCGAATGAATCAATTTTGGCACATGTTAGGAAAGTTGAAAGCACTTGTATTTGTTTCTCCTAGTTGAAAAGTATTTTTCTACATGTATCGTGGTTTGACTCGAACATGAATAATGTATATATTTTTGTAGTCATGATATTGCAAATTTATTGTGAAGTTATGCCTGAATCAAATATCATTTTATTGGAGATACGTTTTTATGATTTATTTTTACGAACAGTTTGAGGTTCCCAACGGATTTTGTATAACAACGACTGCATTCGATCGACATCTCCAGGTAAGCTAATTGAATAATTTAGATTTAAATTTAGATTTAAAACAAATGCTATGTAGAAATTAAACCACAGCATTTATTGACAAATCTGTTAAGAAATTGTACATCTTAGTGCTTTCAGCGTGTGGTTTTAGATTGAAATACAATCGAAATATATGTTGGCATTTCGTTTTGTTCATTTTATTAAAGAAATGTTCTCCTCTTTTAGATGAATGAGGAATTGCAAGCTGCTGTCAAGACACTTAGCGAGGTGTCTTGTGGGATACAAGATGGCGATCTGAAGACGTCATGTGACAGGTAACCATCTGTGACGACAGTTATTAAACAAGACTTTGATATAGAAGTTTCCGAATCGGAGCATTCATAATAAGCGCATTTAATGTGAAAATTTGAATAATGAACATCATGTTTGTATTTGTTATATTCAACCTTTCACATTCTTTCAAACAAAATTCCCTGAATTTATTCCATTCGATCACATTTTAGTTTATCAGAAAACGATTCCTTTTGAAAAACTGAAACATTACAAGATCGTACTAGTGCTTAAACAAGTAATTTATTGTACTGAATTTGTCAGCACTGTGGCAGTGTTCAGCAAAGCTGAGCTTGCAGACGACATGAAGACGGCTATTTCCCGCCAATTTCAGGAGCTTTTTGGAAGTCCTCAAGAGGGCCAATCGTATGCCGTGCGCTCCTCTGCGGTCGGTACGTACACTGTATGGCATACATAAGCACTATACCACATGAGAACGAATACTGTAAAGTTCTCTCAAAACAACCTGCCTGGTTAAGTTGTTCTGCCGAATTGTCGAAGTAATATTGTTTGGTCTTCTCTTATATAGATTGTGTCTTCCCTCTACCATTTAATGGAACGAAAAACAAACGTGAATTTTGATAGAATATAAGAATGATCTAATTCTATAAGTTTGTGACGGTATTTCGTAGTCACAGGATCTTTTATTTTTAAAATATAAAAATGTTGTCATTTTATTAATGCCAAAAAATATGCTAATTGTATTCGGCTTATCAATATTAGGTTTTGCCCTACACCGATTCAGCCTTCAGAATATAAGGTATAAGGTGTATCCAGGTTAGGGTAAAGGGGAAAAAATCACGAATGAATTCCGTAGGGCTATCACAAAATGTTCTTCTCTGTTTTAGGTGAGGACACGCCACAGATGTCAGCAGCGGGACAGATGGAAACATACCTCGGCATGAACACAATGGAAAAGGTGAGAAAAAAAAGCTCAGGTTGACATATAAACAATGGAAAAAACACAAAGTTTAAAACTACTTAAAAACAATCGCAATCCAGGACTTACGACAATCATTTAAGAGAAAACGTTCGAATCCTGCAGAAAATTATCCAAATTCTTATACTTCTCAGTCGCATCATAAGATGACTGTCACATCGGTGCGGCCAAACTATGGTATTCGTCAAGTCGCGTCGTGCTGCACCCGACCGTGTTTTTTTGTCCCCGATTAATTCTTCTTCATGATCTTAAAAAAATGTCTTCGGGTCTTGGAATTCCAGATTTTCAAGGCTGTGCAAGAGTGTTGGGCGTCGCAGTTTTCCTTCCAAGCTGTCCAGTATCGAAGGTGAATACAAAACATTTAACGAATTCCTTAATCAAAAATCAACCAACTATAATTTGTTAGGCTAAAATAGGGGAAAATTGCAAGGATGAGGGGCCAGAAAGAACACAAACATGCACCGGGTATTATACAGAGAAGCACATTGATATACGTGTACGAACCCAGGGGCCTAGTATATTGGGGGAGGGGTGCAGAGTGGCAGAGCGCAACGGGCTAGAGACTTTTAAAAGCAAAATCGGGACACGGAAAGAAGCAAAATCAGGACGGCGAAATATTAACGGCATGAAAATTCTATTTAGCAACGGGATACAAAACCCTGGCCACGCGCCTGAGGACTGCCGTAGAAGAAGAGGAACATTGAAAGGTATTAAGTAGTAGCATCTTAATTTGCGAGTTGTAATCGCATCCTTTTTGAAGAGATGAAAACAGCAAAAATGATGAGGTAAGACCCTCCGAAGGGACCACTCCTCTTCCAGTAAACTAACCTCCCTCTCCGTTGGAAATCTGTGGTCTACATCGGGATCTTCTTTTACTTTAACCACCATCAATTGCAACATTTGTATTTTTCCCACGTTCCAGACAGTACGGCCAGCCTGTGGAATCCACCATGGCGGTGGTTGTTCAGGAAATAGTTCTCGCCAAAAGTGCAGGTTTGAAATTAAATTCTTAATTTTTTTTTAACGTAATTCATATATCGATAATAAAAAATGAATGAAATTTATTCCCACATAGAGTACGGCAGTCTATGATTTTTTTTAAATTTTTTTTAGGATTGTGTTGGAAAGCACGTCAATCCTTAAAATTGGGGGAACACGTGTTTTCTGTGTGGCACCTTGAACAATAGATTTTCAAATTGAATTGATAATTTTTTAGCATTAAATTAGGTATGAGCTTTCCAATAAGACATCGCACGAAAAAATCGGCCCACGACAAGTCAATTAATTCATTTCAACTTTTGAATTAAGAGCGGGACGCTCCTAATTCGTTTTGAAAAGTGTGCGCAATTTCTATGAACTACAGTGCGCAATTTAAAACCACTTTTTAAAACTGTATAAAGGCCAGCAAAACAAACAAGCAAATTTATTTGTTACAAGACATTATATTCCTTTAAATGTCGTTCGGAAAAGAAAATCGAAATTTTGGAAAGGCACGTATACCAACTTTAAAATCAAGTGGGCCTGTCATTACAATGGAACCATTATTTTTGACCCTCTTCTAGGTGTGATATTCAGCCGCGATCCAATCACTGGCAACCCAGCACAAATTGTGATCAACGCCAACTTTGGACTCGGTGAGGTACGTTGCATCATATATTGCTTTCAGCTATCCTATACCCTCTTGTAACCTCATTATTCAGTACCCCCTGATATGGACTTCGTTGAGCCCGAGAAACAGTAGAACAGTAGATGGCTGCTGTGTTGCCGGCCAGCCGTTGGAAATTCGGAAGGTCATTTGACGCTATAATGTACCCGCTTTCAACCTTTTCTTTCTTTTTATTAATATTTCATGAGAAGCACCGATATAAAAAACAGTCGTGTTCATTCCTCTTCTTGGAATCAAAATGACACTTGTATTGGGGCCATGGCTTCGGTCCCGCCTCCTCAGATGATCAGATCCGCCCGGATGCGGAGTGGGGCACGGTCTATACACCAAAGCATAATTTCCAGCGCCCTGAGTGCCTAATTGTCGGTAGATACGAGCGCTATAAGACTCCGGTATTATATCATTATTATTATATTATAAAGCAATAACGTCACCCTTCAGTCCCTCTTATTTTTATCGCTGAGGGGGTATTTGTGCACGAAATCCATGATTATATAGAATAGTTTCTGACGAGAATTTTACATGGTTGCAGTCCGTGGTGGCAGGTGTAAGCGAAGCCGATACCATCACACTGGAGGTAGACAGCAAGAAAGGCTTGACGATAAGTGAGAAGAAGATCGGTCGGAAAGAAGAAGCCATATTTATAGCAGGTAATTAAAAATAACGTTAACCGATAAAGACATGACAGGGGACCTTTTCAAATACACTCGTATCTTCTTGATTCCAGAATTTAAATGAATTCTAAGGCCATCTTAAATGGAAACAACACTTTTCCTGTAGATTCCAAACGCTTTGCACGTCTGTCTTTGTGTGTGTCGCACACCGCCATCTCCTAAAGTCGGTGCCTTACAGTATTTTATATGACACATGATTCGTATTTTTTCGATGCTTGTTTGTATGGGGACTAAACACAAACATGTCTATTTTCTCTCCGAATAAATGCAATATAGAGCAAGGAGGCACCAAAGTGACGTCACTACCCTCGTCCGAGTCTGCGAGTTGCGCAGTATCGGACGACACGTGTTTGAAGCTCGGTCGCATTGCTCTTATGGTAAGTAGGATTATTTCCCCAAAAAGCACACAAAGAGGGGAAAAGAATAAAGGCAATTTGCTGAGTCTCTGGTTTGTGAATTTTTTCCCGTTAAACATTAGTCCAACTATCTGTATTATGCGCTCGTGTCTAGGCCTTCAGTCTCTTTTGATATACTTGTTGTTGAAGAAACATTCAGTGATACAGTGTAGTCGATAGAGTGTGTTAGATTTAACTGCATGTGTCGAACGATGTCATTTGTTTTTATTATTATTATAAATTATTCACGGTTACTATTATTTCATTACTAATGGAACATGGCAGCCAGGAGGCTGAATTACGGTCATTTTACAATAGTTATAAAACAGACACATATGGGGTGAGTAAAAAAAACCCGAAAAGGCAGGACAAATTTTTGAATAAAGTTTGCCTGTAGCACTTTAAAATCAAAGGATATGAAAGCCCAGTCATTAAGCCTTCATTTAGTACAAGAATCATTAAAATCACTCATGTACTTTTCAAGTCACGGAATTTTGGAAAAAAAAAACCGGTTTAAACTGTCCACGGATCACAAAAAAGTAATTGTTCTTTCAGCAAAACGAAAACAATTTCCATAGGGATGCATGTGAATTGTTTTCTTTTGCTGAAAGAACACTTACCATTTTTTGTTACTAAAAGAAAGCTCATTAATTGGGCTTTCATATCCTAGATTTTGAAAGTGCTACAGGCAAAACTTCATTCAGAAATTGGTCCTGCCATTTGATGGATTTCGTTTTGTTTTACTCACCCTGTATAATCATCTTAAGCAAAGTTATGAAGACAAAGTCAACAAAGTAAAAACTTAAAAACATTAATCAGACTAGTATAGTAATATGTAAAAACACCAGATAGTGTAACTTAAAAATATGATAAGGGAAATGGGGGCTAGGTACGGGGTTAAGGGATGAGGTAGGAGGGGACAATGGGGGAGTAAGAGAGATGGAATCAGGATTAGGAATTGAATGAGAAATGGTGAGGTTAAATAATAATACACATTAAATACAATCTTAAATAACATCTAAAACATGAAATACGGTTTCGCTATGCCTGAGAGGGAATGCGTATGTGTACCCATGCATCAACTGATGGTTTTGAGAAATGTGCATTGTTTTGTTCCAGTTGGACGACAGCTTTGGCGATGCCAGGGATATCGAGTACGCAGTGGTCGGCGAGTCCGTGTACCTTCTTCAGGTAAATCAATGTCTGCCCACATACAATAATTTCTTCGCTCGGCCGTGAATCTAATAAAAAAAAAAGGATGTCGGTCATTTTTGGACGTCTGACCAAAACAAAAAAGTGCCGAGGTTGGCTGTCAATGTTTGGACTTATTGAAGCACCGGTCATATACCCACCAAGACCCAATCAACCCAGGGAAAATTTTCATATGCATTGGAAAGTGATTAAAGCTGGCAGCATTGTTGCATACATGTATTACCGTGCTGCAATATTATCCTTATAGCGAGGTGTAATTTGGATAGAAAATATTTGATTTTCATCGTTGCAACTCGATTTGTCCAAAATTCTTTCAGTTTTGACAGTACATGGTAAGTATTTGGTATATGAGTGTCATGTCGTTCCTTGCAGGCACGGGCAATAACGACACTGGACGTACCCTCCCGATACGAGCTGCTGCATGAGTTCGATACCGGCTTGCCCACCGACCGAAACCTCGTCTCAACCGGTAATATTCAGTAAGTATAGAATATTATTTGTTGGTATGATTCATATCACTCCTGACATACCCTAGCGGTGTAGTCATGTTTGGGTGGGGAGGGGATTCACCTGTTTTTCTCCAGTCATCCGGTTTCCCTTTAACGAGCAGTGTTGCCCTTAAAACTCGAGACGACGTATTTGGTCTGCTACACGACCAAAATGCCCCAAATGATGTCATATCTCCCCGGACACTTGACCGTACCTCCCCTGAAAAAAAATCAGTCTTGTCACTATTAAGCGTCACTCTTCATGTAACAGATGTGGAGATTGAATTCATAAGAGAGATTATTTTGTGGAAGATAGGTTCAGCACACAATGCCGTGTGCAAATGTTTGTCCATTTGGCATGTACTTTGTGCCTTGGAACGCTTCTCCGTTTTAATTGAATACGCTATTTGTCGCGACGTCACCTGTATAAGACCAACGGGTCAGAGCTACCTCTACCGTCTCAAACTCCATTTCAAACCTCCTGTATACCTTACAAAATGTATCAGTCCATCCGCAAATATTAAAAATACTACCACTCTCTTTTTACAAAACTTGTCAATAGAGTCTGAAGGTGTAGTAAATACTTTAAACAATACACCATTATCATGTTGCTGCCATTTTGTTCCCATTCAAATCAACGTAACCAAAGCGAGGCTTGAACGAAAAATAGGCTGGTTCCATTTTGCACAAAAACATTATCATTCAGTGCTGTTATTGGATACAGGAAACATGACTGAAGGTCTATGGTCTTTATCCCATCTCATTTGGACACCCCAGTCCAGAGATACAGCTAATTAAATGAAATGACTTGAATTCCAAATTGGGCCACTTGGTATCTAATGGAAGGCATTTGTACGTACCAAGCTGAAGAAGGTAGCCCAAACAGATTTTGAAAGTCTTTGCAAGCTTTGCCGTAACTTTTAAACAAAAGATCCAAATCACACAGAACAACAAATCTGTCAAGGGTAAAGAAACAGTCTATCATCCCATTTTTTTTTACTAAAAAAACCCCAACGGTTTAGTTTCCTCAGAAAAAAAAATGTTGTTTGACTTTGTTTTGAGATACCCTATGTATTCATCGAGTGTATTCTATTTACTGTGGGTCGGGGCGAGGGCTCCTAATATTATATGCAACACATATACGCGCGGTTGCATGATCAGTAGGCCTTCAATCTGAATTGTCATGAATCCTGGACGTATTGGGATTGGAATCACTGTGGCATTAACCTTGGTATCTTTGCTGCAATGTACCCACACAGGGAGATGTGTCCAGGCAGCGTGACTCCATTGACATTAAATCACTTCTTTTATGAGTGCGACCTCAGTTTTCAGGTAAGTGTAACTGAAAGTATGGATCAGGACCATTGAAGGTAGTTTTCACAGTAAGTTTTGCGTTAAAGCAGTAGGAGGATTTTTTTGGTAACCTGAGATCTCGGATAATTATAAGCTATGATTAGAGATCTCGAAATATAGCTTGAGACGATTGCTCATGCTATAGATGCTAAAGGAATAAAACACGGTGTGCCGATACGAAGTGGATAATTCAAGGAGATATGCTGAACTACGATTGGTTTAAATTTAGTATTGACAGACGACGAACCATTACTGTTATTATAATAATCCGAACGATATTTGTACAGACTTAAAAAAACTTCTACAATTTAAATAAAGCTGAGATTGGCTGAAGAAAACTAAAGGCTACTCAGTAAAATGTATCCGACTACTTTCTTCCTTTAACTTACGTATAGCTTGATCATATTCCACTCGGGAGGCCTCTGATACTACCAAACGTTAGAACCATCTACTCGTTCTACAACCAGGGATTCTTCAACTTAACGGTAGGTAAACAATAAATGAAAAAATAGAATGGTCCATTTAGTCAAAAATCTTCATACAAGATGAAGCACCTTCTTCTTAAGTCTCCAAACGACTACATTTCTTTAGATTATACTGTTAAGTATTATCAATGTAACACAAGGGCGGATCCAGAACACAATTTTTGGGGTCCTCCCAAAAAGTGGGTCAAAAAAATTACGGCGTGGGGTTCGGGGCCCGCTTAAGGGCCCCGAAATTTTTTTGGATTCTAGATGCTCTGTGGTGCGATCTGAGGCAATTTCTGACCACTTTAACCAATGTTTTTTTGAGGAAAAGATGGTGGTGTACTCATTGGCTGCCTTTATTGCGATGTCACATAAAAAAAAAAAAAATTGGTTTCGTTTTTTTTTTTTTGGGGGGGGGCATGGCCCCCTTTGGCCCCCCCGGATCCGCCCTTGATGTAACATCGTTGGTGGTTTTACTGATTTGTCGATTCCTTGCAGGACTTGGTTCGTTTTGCAACACGGGCGAGCATGTTTAGCACGCAGGAGATGGGACCTTCTATATGTGGCCAGGTAAGTACCTACAATCATTATACATGTATATATCACCAGTTAAAATGAATTGTGATGAGCAAACTGACTGAGAGGGAACCAAGACTGGTGACGAAAAAACTGACTATGCGGTCAAAGAACATTCAGCAGAGGTGACGAAAATTAAGGTGTGCATGGCATAAGTTAAATAAGGCCAACCCAACCCAACCCGACCCAACCCGACCCGACCCGACCCGACCCGACCCGACCCGACCCGACCCGACCCGACCCGACTCAACCCGACCCAACCCGACCCAACCCGACCCAATCAGCCCTAAATCCATGAACAATTTTCTTTGCCCTTTTTGTGATTTGGAAAGGATTTAGATGCCAAAGACCTTGCTGAGTCGGAGAGGATTGTATCAGACCACACTGCAGTGTCTCGATGGCAGAGACATCTCAACACGCTCAAATACATCCAGGTAAATCATCAATCGAAGTTAGGAAAATTACTGTTTTCAGTTTGGCATTTGCATAATGCATCATAACCACAAACTCTGCGGAAGATGCATATTTTATTGACGTTATATACCTTAAAGTATTAGGGCCTTCCCAATAAGGTCAATTGAAAATGTTTATTAAATTGTAATTACAGATGATTAATATTTTGTAACTGGGTCTAATAAACTGCTTGTCCACCTTTGTTCGTTGTTTTTACATTACATTACAGAAATTCTTTGTGAGTCGCAAATGTCAGGAAGAGTTGGCTGAAAGAGTTCTGCAGACGCTGACCAAACACTGGACGACTGCGCATGAGCAGTATGATGACATCATGGCTAATATGAACTCTGACATGGGTCTGGTAAGAGACGAACTTTGACATGGTATACGTGTTTTAAATGTTCAATTATACCTTAGGGTAGGGGAAATCTTTCTTTTCTTGAGGAGGAAATAAATCAATATTTATTCTAGAACCTACCTGGTTGGATTCAAACATCGAAGCAGGAAAAGAAAATAACATGCTCCAACTCAATGTCTTTTGAAAATGAAAATGGAACGGAAAGACCGCCCCCTTTTTAAGTTAAAAAATGAGTTGACCATGCGGAATCACCAAAACCTATCCAACATTTGATGAACGAGAACAAACAATTCAAGTGTTAAAAAAGTAGACAAAGGGAAGGAAAACAAAGACCTTACCGTCCACGTGGAAACAAATGTCTTTTTGCCGTTGCTTTAGTTGATGACTACCACTTCTCTTTGTTGACCTATTCGAAGAAATTTGGGGGATGCATTTTGAGACCATTGGTGCACGTTTTGGTCGCTGGTACCCGTCACCCTATCCAAAGGCGGCAGTAACCCCTAGTCAATGTTACATAATTTTGTGAGAGAAACGAATGCTTCGCACAACATTGTTGGTGGCTTACCATCATGATTGTCAATGCGCGAACTTTCTGTTCGGATGTGTCGTGCGCATGTGAAAGGTCTGACCTCGGGTCACGTGTTGATAAACAACCAATGAACGGCTTAAGAAGTTAGAGGTTAAGCCCGGTTCATACTCGGCGCGAAAGCGAAAGCGGACGCGAATTTGTGACGTTATGGAGAGTATTCGCGATGCGAATTCGTAAAAGTTGAACACATTTAAACTCGGGCGAATTTCGCAGCGAATGTTTCATGACGTCAAATTTGCTTCGCATTCGCTTTCGCATGAAGTATGAACCGGGCTTTACAGCGCCCTTTTCAGGCGGGGCGATACAGTATGAGCGAAGTTGAGTTGTAAAGGTTTAATACTGATTGTAGTTTTGTTGGTGATTCCAGGCGTGGATGCATCACGTTCATGAAAGCGGCAAATCTGCAGTCAGTCGACGAATAATCATGGAGATCCTCAAGGGAGCATCAAAGGGTAGGGCAGCTAAGTAAACAGTCACTTACCGTAATACGCGTGCGTGAACAATCAGGTGATTTGGATTGATTTTGGTTTAGATTCATGTTGAGTCGGTAAAATTCACTCAATTATCACACCAACCTTTGACCTTATGACTCACATGAGATTTCATGCGAAGTTCAAGCGAAAGCTTCTGCGACTTCACAAGTTACCATTTCCGTTCGATTTCGCGCCAATGCTAACGTTCACTGAGAGTGTGGAAGTTTGCTATAGGAACAGAACATCAGGCGTAGCCAAAGATTGGTTCTGAGTGTGGCGAACCATGGAGCTATGGGTGAACACACAAGGAAATGGGAAATCAAGTCTGGTAGAAAATGCCATCGTTTTGGTTGATCCTTTCTTTCTCCGCCCTTCATAGATGTGAATGCCGATGGTGAAACCGCCATGTTGCTCTCCTCGTGCCCAGGGGTCGTGAGTGCCGACGTGCCCCTGGCCATAGAGGTAAGTATGTTGCTCTAAAGAATTAATCTTTTGAAAATTTGCCCCCAAATTCCTTAACTTTTTCATATATTCTCAATTTATCTGATGATGATGATGATGATGAAGATGATGATGATGATGATGATGATGACCGAAGAGGTTTTATATTTGTTAGTATATCTTATTATTTTATTATACTCCCGTGAGCAGAGAGTGGCCCGGGCAATAGTTCAAGAGGGAATGGGCGAGTCCTTCCGAGACATGGCCCCTGAACAAGCATTAGCTTGGATCCAATCCTCGTCTAGTGGCTCAGCAGGCGCTGCCTTCGCTGAATTCTTGAAGGTCCACGGACATCGATGCATCAAGGAGGTCAGTTAGAAAGAAAAAAAGACTAAACTGTAAATGTTTCGAGACTGTTTCCAAAGAAGTTGTGTTGACCTTCACTTGTTTTATCATGTATAAACGCCTAGCTGCCAAAACTAATCCGACTTACCCATAAATAGGCTCATTGTAATCTTTAAAGTTTGATCCTGATTTCGTTTTTTGTCTTATCATTTCATGAATGTGTACAGATTGAGCTGCGTGAAAAGTCTTGGGGAATGGAGCCAATTCAGACGATACCAGTTGTGCAGGTTACTCCCTATACACCTAAATAATATCAATGTCATGTTCATACATTAATTTTGTAATTGAAACATTAATTATTTTGACATTCTACCGGGATAAATTAATTACTGTTTGTTTATCTTGCTGAGTAGAAGTATCGTTCTTATGTTAAAAAGCACATGATTAACAAATATATGTATTAGTGCCATTTCCTTTCAAACAAGTAAATTATTGTTATGTACTTGTCTTTGAGAGGTACTGAAATTTGAACAAATAGAAAAATTATTTAATTTGCTTGTTTCTATTTTAAAGGCAATTTTAAAGTCTGGTTCCCTGTCGACATCCACCGAAAAGAAGTATCTGAGTGTCGAAGAGGCTGTCGACCGGCTGACAGTTCCCCTTTCTAAAATTATGAGGTGAATGTATATCAGATTACATATTGTAAAATAACAATACAAGAATACATTGAAAAATTATTATCTTAGGAAACTAATGTCGTTAGTTATAATTTATTTTCACATTGGTATATAAAACAAATACACGTTGAGAACAAAATATGTTTTGTAGAGAAATGATTTTTGTTCTCCTGTCTTCATTCAACAGATTGCTGATGGTCAGGTTCTTCGTGCCTCGGGCTCGCGAGTCGGTCGCAAACAGAGAGCGCAGTAAGGTACGAACCATAATATTCGGTTCCTCGACTGAAGGTTCCAAAAGTGAACAGTTCACAAAGACATTTAGTCCGAAATGTCACGCTTTTTATCACATAGTTTACCTTTGACATTGTTTCGTTGCTTTTGTTTTCAGTCCTTATGCATTCGACTGAACCACCACAAGAAAGAAGCGTTCTGGAGACTAGCAGGACTCATGGTCAAAGAGGTAACACAGTTTGCTGTTTTCCCCTCGCAATCGACAAGATGAGGATATTTTGTGTTGATCTGAACTTGTGCACAGGAAAGATTACACTCAACAGAGTAGATACAGTAATGCTTGACTAACACTGGACCAATATTGCAGTGGCCAAGTTAAGCACTCATGGGTTTTTCTGGATGGCCTTTACTCGTAACATTCCAAATATTGTCGAAATGTTACTGTGAAGTTGAATGGAATAAAACAAAACTTGAAACTTGACACATGCAGAAATCTGCTCAGCATATAAAAAATGCTTAGCGAAATCATGTTGAAAGGCAGTGCCATGCAATATGTCTTACTTGTGATTGGTTATCAGCGTATTTTTTTCTGAGCACTTAATTTGCAAAGCGATATTAACTGATTTGCCTCACGAATTGTTATTTGCGAGTTTTTGGTATGCATAGTGTTAAAGGATAAGCTTAGGCCTATAGCTGTAAAGTAGGCTTCGTAAGACAGCTGTAATATGCCTCTTTGCTGATGACGTCACGCTTTGTTTACATGTGTGCTTTCTTATGGGAGCCAGCGGGACGACAGCTTCGTAGACCCATGGAAAAGCGCGCAAGAAACCAAAGTGTGACGTCATCAGTACGTCATAGGCTTAGTGAGTCAATCAGAAGTCAATCGTATTCAAATCACTTGTCAAATCACATGTCAAATCACATGTCAATTATCAAGTCAGCTCACAAATAACGGGATGAACAGTGAAGGATGTCTTTGTGATGCCCATCTTAATAGCTAGCCGACTTGACTTAAGATTGGAAGCCATATGATTGACATAGTGACTGACATGATTACAACTCAGTTTTAGAGAATCCAGAAATGCCGGCCCATTTTCTCAGAGGTATGGGTTGAATTTGTGTGTATTTTTGTACTTTTGTACCTTGCAGGGCCGCCTTCCTGATGATGATTTGCTGTTTTTCTTGACACCGTCCGAGATTGGTCATTTACTCAAGGATAGAACACCTGCTCTAGTTTCAAGGTAAAGACAAAAAAAAGTGTAAAATTGTTTTAAGAAAAGTGTTAATTTTTTTTCAATGCTAACATAGCCGTTGACGCCTTAGTTGACCTTTAGCCCCGAGGTGCATTTTTTGTGTTGTATTTTGTGCCATACGTCCGATGGGTCTTCACATCATGGAGTCCAAATCTAATGCTTAATTGGTTGATTTCGTTTGGAAAGAATAAAGTTTATGATATCGTCTGATTGTGAATTTTGTGGACATTCCAATGTGCTTTAACTTGACGTGAAACATCTGAAATAGAAGAATACAACATTGGAGCAACTGTATTATAGAAGTGTCACTTCAGGTAGCTATGCGGTTTATGAAAGAAAGTGACGATGTTTTTCAATGTTCTTCGTTGCTATTTTCATTCTTTGCATGTTCTTTTTATATATGAAGGGCCCTTCGCAGGCGCCGTATCCTCCCAGAACAAGCCTCATACAGGTTCCCGCTCATCTTCAATGGAATCCCCAAACCGGTTAGTGCAGGTTAAAAAGTGACTTGATTTAAAGCTTGGAGATTTGCGAATAATTTGCCTAACGTTTTCAAGAAAAATTGTATTCAAGTATAATCATCAGCAGTGTGTAAAAACCATCTGCAGTTTCGTAGAAGTATATTTTTTGTTAATCTTAAGATAGGTTACAATCACAAATTTAGTCTCAACTCTGCTTGTTCCACCTAAATCTTTCCCCCTTGAGTCTCCTGAGATGTTTGAGTAAGATTTTTGGAGAAAGATGTGAAACAAAACAACGTCTTTACAAAATCAGTTCAATATTTCATCAATTACGATCATATTTCTAAAAATAGAAAATCATTTTATATGTGGATACTTTTTCCCGTCGTAGATTTCCGAGGAGGAAGAGTCAGACGAAGCGGAGATACAGTTACAAGGTACCAAAGTAGTCAACAACTATAATAGACCTTTATCATGCTGCCACCATTTCAGTCATGTTCCCTGAATCCAATAACAATACTGAATGATAATGGTTTTTGTGCAAAAAGGAACCAGACTATTTTTCCTGCCCGCCTCGCTTTGGTTACGTTGATATGAATGGGAAAAAAATCAAGATGGCCGCAACATGATAATGGTCCATAGTATCACGGAATGATGTCATGGAAGGAACGGAGAGATTGAGTCGAGAGTTTTGTGTGACTTTGTTTTATTCTCGGAAGTTATACAGTATTTTGAATGATGTTTATGGAGGCTTCTTTCAAGTCTTATCTGCAGTCAGCGTTCTATGCTTCAAAAATAGTAGAAGTTATAACTGTGTTACAAATTTAACTTGTGATGCAACGTAAACTGTCTTCTATACACTTTGTTATTCAGGCTTGCCAATCAGCCCTGGGACTGTGAAAAGCACAGCTAGAGTCGTCACAAGCCTTCAAGATGCTCCCAGTATACAGGTGATACCACGTGACATTGTGACTGTGCCTGGAATCATTTCTTACATTCGTTGAACCTTTTTTCTTCCTCTTACTTTGTGAACCCATACAGTGCTATACAAATGCTGATTCGGAATCCGTAACATTGAGTGTAATTTGTTTTTATTTATTTAACCCTAGCAAGGAGACGTCTTAGTCACACGCATCACCGATATCGGCTGGAGCCCGTACTTTCCTCTCATCAAGGGTCTTGTGACCGAGATAGGTGGAATCATGTCCCATGGTGAGTGGAAACAAAAATCAAAGCTTAAATGGCAAAATTTGGTGTCCAGAGATCCCAAAAATTCGTAGCGTTTCGAGATCGGGACTTTGCTTTTCTGTGCTGGAGAGGGGGAGTTGAAGCCACTGATGGATTTTTTTTGGAAAAGTTTTTGCGAAGCGTCATGAAGTATAATACATAATGCTTTTGGGAATAACAGGGGTTTTAAAACGTAGAGTGTGTGCTCAAAGAGCTAGTAATAGAGTTGTATTTGTAAAGATATATATGGATGGTTAGAAATCGGCACGTGGGTGATGGGTGAGAAATGCCGGTATATCGATTGAGATGATTTCGTAGAATAATCTTGTTGCAGTCGAAGGGGGGCGCGCTTGTGTTTCCCGCCCATCGGTCATGCTTATCCGGCTTGTCCCCGTCCTTTGTGAAACAATAGTGAACATGCATTTTCTCTGTGTTTCAGCTGAATGTTGTCAGCCATGTTTTCCTTTGTACTGTAACCAATCATTAGGTGCTGTTGTCGCTCGTGAGTACGGCCTGCCGTGTGTTGTCAATGTACAACGGGCTACCGTCGTCTTCAAGTCGGGTTAGTGAAGGGAAATGCTATCGATCAACAACTTTATACTAAATATGAATCGATTGGTTCAGTCGACTACTTATAACTGTTACAATGATGACAGGATCCATGAATGTAACTAATTACATCTCTGACAGAAAATAATAATAGAATGACAATGTTTTGCTTTCCTTTTACCGATAGTTCACTATTTATCCGCACTTAAAAGCACAAAACCTTGACCTTGGATTATTGTTAGGCCGGGTAAGAGCTTACCATAAGCCCAACCCTAACCCGATGTGTTCAAATTGTATGGCTATAACAATACAGTTTTGATCTCTCTCTTGGTAAAACTGGTCTTGATAATTTAATCCAAATGCAGGAATTGTTTATTGATTCTCTGTGTGTTCGCACCACAGGTGACATCGTTCTTCTGGATGGAGGCAAAGGAACAATCAATAAAATACAAGCAACTGATTGAGACCCATGATGGGGGAGATTGGTTTTTGAGGAGCAAGTGAAGATTAAAGCCGGACATGCTGAACATTAAACTCCTACTTCCCGCTAAACTCCTGTGCTAACGAATTATGCAAGAAAACCGGTTTTGCGTGTGTATGAAGACAATTATAAAATAATACACTCTGCATTGTATTTTGTCTTGAAAACAAATTGTATTCGCGTGAAACTTGATGTACACCTTACATAATTTATGTCATATAATTCAAACTTCGAAACTTTTTGTTAAATAAATTTACCGCAATATTTTATCGTCCAGTTTCTCGCTGGGAAATGAAAAACTTAATCGATGTGATTCCAATCACTATATTTGTATGATATTTTTATTTCTTCAATTTTAATTTTTTTTATCAGATTTATTATTATCTTTAATTAAGATCATGTCATGGCCAATTGATTTTTTCCTTCTCTCTCTGAATTCTTTTTGTCTAAAATTAGAAATAAATTGCATCGCTATACCAAACTGCAATTGTTAATTAACTGCTATACCAAACTGCAATTTGTAGTTAATTGGAAACGGGAGTTTCTCTTCAAACCATTTTCTTTTCCGAGGATATTCTTTTTTATTCCCAAAAGATGACAAATTGCCACAATTGAACACTTTTTTGGCGTATACTCTTAATTAAACACTGTTCCTGGCGTCCCGCTCTGTATTTATAACTTATATACTGAACTTGTTACAAATTGCTTAATTGATTTTTCTATGACTCTTTATAAAGTTTTCAATATAGATGGTAATACATGTTTGAATGTCAATGGTGATACATGTACTTATAGTTCATATTGGATCTTATGATTAGTATGAAGCCATGTGGCACAAATCTGTGTCGGCGAGTTCGGGGGATGGGGTATGACCAAAAATTCCTAATACCCGGCCGTAGAAATATGAAGGGGGGGGGGCGGGCTGCTGGCAGTGGCGACAGCCCCCCCCCCCCCCATGAAACCTTGTCGCCCCCCAGTCGCCCCCCAGTCGCCCCCCCCCCCCCCCACTGAGATTTTGAGTTTCTACAAAAATTATCATTGATCTACATGACGCCCCCATGAAATGTTCCAGCCCCCCCCACCCCCAGCGCCGCCCCCCCCCCCCCCCCCCCCACTGAAAAATTCTGACTGGCTGCTGGGCTGGGCTTGACACCGCACAATACTAGGAGCATTGTTCATTTGTGTGTACATCTTATGTCCCATAACTTTGCATCAAAAGGTGCATTTTAAACTTTTCTTCTGTTTCTTCTCTATTTCTAATAATTTGTAATACTTTTGGAGGCATGTATAAGAAGCTGACATCCAAAACAACATTTTCCCCAAAATTATAATGGGTGGGTGGGGGAGGGGGGGGGGGTGTTATCCAATGGCCCGTCCCTCCGGTCAAAAGGGGGATATATCCCCCCACCCCGGAATTTACACCCCGTGCACAGATTAGTATTGTGTTCCTTCCTCCATGGTTGATCTAACTAGTACAGTGCCCGTTCAAAACGTGCCTGGACGGGCAAATTGCTTGGCCTCCGGTAGAGACCCGTAAACATGGCGGTATGGAGCGCATAGCCCGTATAATATCTACGCCGTACGCGTTACGCGATCGTGCCCGTAAAAAAAAATGGTTGAGGCTCACCTCACCGTACGCGTTGCGCAATCTTCCCCCTTCAAGAAACGGTCGAGCCCATACAACAAACCACCACAAATTGCTCGTGACGCGGTATCCGCTCCGTTCACAAGTACCCCCTCACCGGCTAAGAAAGCACAGTTGGGGGTGACCATTGATCTCCATATACACAGACTGGATAGGACATGTGCGTCCGAACAGCGTCCGCGTGCGTGTTTTTTGAAAAGGGTAAATAACACAATTTCGCATTTAATATAGCTCTATGGGTTTTCTTCGGTTTCTTTGTCAGTTTTGAAAGAATAAAAGAAACAGAGATCTAAATTGATCAAAATCGATGAGGTGTATAGTCAAGGTGTGCGCAGCATTAGATTGCTGGAGTGGGGAAGTAAGGAGCGTTGAAGAATAGGACAATTATTCGCAAAGTACGTTGTATGTTAACGAGGCCTATACAACATGGCATGGAGGAATATGAACATGGGAATGCGGACAAAGCAAATTATAATATCGTTAATGTTGTCGCTCTGAGTTTAAGGGGATGGAGGCCTGTGTGGTAGCTAGCGAGACATTCTGTTCAAATTCCATGCGATCTAGGCCTGTCATGCTGGTCGGCACCATTTTTTTTTTAATAAATAATAATAATAATAATAGTGGCATCTTATTAAGCGCAAACAGGTCCATCACTCGGTGACGCTCATGGCGCTATACAAAGAGTAAGTACAAGCTACAAAATTTATAAATGACAACATTAAATGACAAACTACAAATTATAAATGCTAGGTCCAAGACATATGAATTGCAAGGTGCAAGCCGAAGAGGACATAGGCCTAAACGTGCATGACTGACCCGGCAATGGCAATGAACAAAAGTTGACTTGTTTAAAAAAGTTTATTCGAATAACTTTTATAACATTTATATGCAAAATCTCATTGAATTATGTATTCTTTTTCTTTATAAAGAGAAACCGAGGAGATGGTTTATGCTAACTTACTGCACAGCCATATACACCGTCTAGTGTTTAGCTATACTATAGATAGACGGTGTATATACACCGTCTATCTATAGTATAGCTAAACATTTAATTATAAACAAGACCGTACGTAGCTTGAATTATTCTTTAACAAAATTAGTGTAGTACTATTTTGGTTTGTGATTCATCTCCTTTCATACAATATCACAAGAGGTGAACGATGTCATTCCCTGATCAATCTAGGGACGGGCAGAAGTTTTTACTGATTACTTTGAAAAATTAAGTTTTTTTTACCTTTTAGATTCAAATTGGTTTATGTTCGGGTTTTTAATAAATATATCAATCATTTAAATGAATCTCAATACAATTTCTCGTGTGAGTGTTCAGTTAAAAAAAAATATGATGTCATTTCAGCATATTATTAATACAATTATCCATTTCATTGATGGAGTAGGCCCTAATTCAGTGTGCTCTAATGACCAATGTGCCAAAAATGAAATGGCAATTTACTTACAATCATTTTTGGGAGGAGGAGGGATTAAAAAAATAAGGGAAAACGAAATAGGGGGTTCTTGAATTTCGAAAATGTATAATAAGAAAGTGTATATCAAGAAAGTGTGGAAAAGCTGTTTGGAGGGATTGAGGGTAACTCTTCATCGTTCAGTTATTTTTTTTAAAGATTTGTTTTGGAGGAACTCCCCCCTGTAAGAAAAATTTCACTTGATAATCCATTTTTCAAAGTAAACAAAGTGAAAGCACAATGCGCGTTTACCCGTCTGACAGTAAACGCGCCGCCATTGTTCGGCCGCACATTCGTGCACACATTCTCGAATTTGTATCCTTGTGGAGACATTTCTTTGTTCTCGTGTAGTAAAGTTTTCGAGTTTGAAAGTGAAGTTTCAAAATGCTCTTATTTTAACCAGAATTAATTTCCTTGGCTGAAATTCGGACTTAATATCCCTTTTCTAAAACTCTTCCATTTGCGACGGATCAACCCACCTTGGAAATTCCTATATCTATTTCGTGAAAACCTTGTGGAGACCTATTCATCTATAGAAATTGCCCTGTGGAGACCTATACAATCTTTTGTTCCCTATTGTGGAAATGTCTCCACAAGGATACATATTTGCGCTCACAAACACTGCGCGATGACCTATCCAGTCTGTGTATATGGAGATCAATGGGGGTGACCGACCGACGCCATCATGCATTTTGCCGCGACGCGCGGCCGTACCACTGCGTGTACATAGTACAAATCCGCACAGAGCCCATAGTGCAGTGCCCATTGAAAAAGTGCAGCCTAGCATGCATATGGGTGGTGCGGTCTGTATATATATGTGTATATATGTTTATGTGTATAGTTGTATGCTGTAGGCCTCAGAAAATACACCTGCCGATTGTCAACTTCTTACAGTGCGACTGTTCTGGAGACAATCACATAGATATTTCTGGAATTATAGTCAGATGAAACCCTAGTATACTGAAAGTGTGGGTGAGATTGTGAGTGTGTGAAGTTGACTACTATCTCTCATGGGCTAATCCGAAATGGATTTGTCGAAAATAAATATGATTATCTGACTTGACCTGAACAGCAAAACAACCGACAGCAATTTCGCGAATGTACTATGTACATGTACACTCACGAGCAACCTATTTATGACATAATAGTTGAGGGTACCTATCTCTTTTTATAAGCCTATTAGCATATCACTGATTTGGCTTTAAGGGTATAGTTGGCTCAACATTACCCGCTTCGTCTTGCATGTCATCAAAAACCTGATTGTGATAAAAGTTGACAATTTGCGTTCTCGCTCCCTTGTAGTATCAACCCTCAGACCCCCACTGCGGCCCGCATTCTGCACTGTGTCCCCGCCGATGGTGGCTCAGTGGAGTGTGCACAACGTTTGAAGAGAGCAACATTTTGGTTGGTATTTTCCTCAACATGGACCTGTTCTCATTCCTACCATGGCTGTCGTTGCTCCCCCTCCCCGTGTATATCCTCGCTAGTTATGTTTCCCCTCGCCCCTCCCCGGAGAACCACCGAGGAGTCTTTGGTTCCCCGTCAAATATCTCTGGCTCCGCTGGGTTCTGTTGTGGTCCAGACGGAGGTACCTGCACCTGCACCGGCGAGTGACGAGTCACGATAGGATGGAGGCCAAGGCGAGAGAGATGAGTCGGTTGGAGTACGGTGGCACATTCGGAGACCGTCAGCCACGAGTAAGTGAGGCTGTTGACGACCATAGCAGACAGAAAAGATTACACAAGTGATGTAAAATTTTACATGTTTTAAATGTGCCGTAACCTCCTAATACTATTAGTAAGGTAAAACTTGGGTGTTGGGTAACGTTTTTCACAAATGTTTGTCAAATTGTACTTTGAAAATCGGTCAAGTAATTTACCGAATATCTTGGTAAACATTTATTTTGTTTGTGATACGAGGGGGAGAGGGACACACATGTTTGGTCTCTAATAAGCACATTATATTCCCCAACTCCAAAGCATGGAGAACAAATGAGAGCTTTAAAAATAAAAAAAAAAGAGAAGCTTCGACGTTTTGTACCCCGCCAGAAAATGAGGATGCCCCTGCATTTTGGACTCCGGTTAAGCCAGATGAGCACAGCGTGTCTGGTTTAGATGTTTCTCTTTAAACTTATTGCAGGTTTACTGTGCCAGCCGACTCAATGAAAGGGGGAGGATCTAGCTACATGTATCTCTTCTGTTTCAGGAGGGGGAGGGGTGTTGACATGAAGGGGGCCGGGGGGGAGGGGTGAATGAAGTCGTGCCGAAGGAGGCACGGCATGCCCCCGTGCTAATTTTGAAAAATGCGATGCTTTCTCCTGTAGGCTATTGTTAGGCAATTTGAGAGTACATTTTGGAACTTTAGCATTCAATTTATAATTGTTTGGACCATGTTACTAGTTCCATTACATTATATTTTTCGGCTGAACGGGATGCATCCCCCATACGCCACTATAGACTGAGTGAGGCATTCTTGATTAATCCTTTATAGACACGTTTTACCCATGGATAGCTAAAATACTGAACATGCAAGAGGCAAACATTATCACGTCTATATATAGGCCTAAGTAAAGCTTAATCTTGATCCAGCTAATGATAGGGTTTGTATTTCAAAGTCAACATTAAAATGGATAGGCTTGGAACAGTTTGGAATGAAGGCCGAGGGTTATTCTGTTC